CTGCTCCGTTGTAATGCACTTACTGCTCCATTTAGTCAGGTCATTGTTTAAGCCTGGTCTTCAATTTGACATAAATGATTTGTTTCCAGCAGATGGTAAGCTACTATTTTTTGCCCTCATTTAAATAGGAAAGCTGTATGCTCCCAGAAGATGAAAGAGGGGCACGGTGCTGCTGACATACAGTAGATTATGAGGGCTGGTCTGGTGAGAATTAAATCCGGGCGGTTCCAATGTGCCATCTGCCTTGTGGCTGCTTTCCCTGTGTGCCCAGGCAAATCCCCCCCCCATCTCACATTACTGCAGGCATCTCTTTTGTTCAGGACCCAAAGCATCAGCACCAGAAGCTGAGGGATAGGAGATACTCAGTGCTAACCGTGCCTCTAATAAAAGATGTTAGATTTTGCAAAAGCAATTATTTATGGCATGGTTCTTTTTGTCCCTTTGTTGGACCTTTGTTTTCCCTCAGCCTCAGTAGTGGTTCTGTAGAGGTTCTGCTGCTTAAAGTTGTTCCCATTTCTAAGGGTGTTTGTTGAGAGGCATTTGAATTTCTTATTTTGGTTAAACTGCTCAGTCACTGCTGTGCTTTCCTAGTGGTACCAGGAATCATCTGTGGGCTGTGTTACTCAAACACACGTCCTGCTCATAGCTCTCCTCTTCCATCCCAGAACACACCGTGGTTGTGCAGGCAGCAGCGGGGCTGTGTTCACTGTCTGCAGAGATGTGGAGAAAGTGGAGCTGTGTGCTTTCTCCATGCATTGCAAAATGGGAAAGAGTGCACTTAAACTTAAACAGCTGCTGCTGTTGGATTTCTGTTTTCAGCAGAAGTGTCTCTCTTGTTGGCATCTCCAAGCTTTGGTGGAGCTGTGGTGCTCAGTGAAGGCTCACATTTTTGGGTGGGAGGGTCAGGCAATGTGTTCTAGCAAAGGGCTGTAGTTACGTGGTGTGTGGCATCACTGCAGGACGGTTTGTGTTCTCAGAAATGCAGTGCTGCTGGGGCTCTCCTTTTTCTTCTTTAGGTTGTGGGCTGCAGTTGCAATCTCCTCTTACCTGGCCACAGCTTCAAGCTCACTTCTTTCTGCTTGGTTGAAGGCAGTCAATTTCTTTGTGCCTCATGCAAAAAGTGACTCTTAGATTTTTTGGTGGGTGGTGAGAGGAAGAGGAAGAAAGGGGAAAGTTGGTACAGAAGAAAGCCTTATGGGAGGGATGGACCCAAAAGCTGCGTCCATCCTGAGGGATGGCTCTTTTCAACATCTGCAGGAGGAAAGCCCACACTGTGTGGGTTGGAACTGAGGGTGGATACCCCCTCTCTGCTCATCAAACACTACCAAGATTATGTAAAAATGTGTGTATTAGAAGCAGGATAAGCAATCAGACAACTTACTCCTTGTAAGGCTGGGATTTGTTTTGTTTAAAGGATTTTGGAGAAGAAAAGGAGAGTGAGTGTAGGTTGAAGGAAGCCTGTATTCCCCGCAGTGATGCTTTGGGCCCTTGGGTGGAAGCTGGGCTGTGAGCTGTGAGGCCAGAGGAGTCGGGGCGTCTGGGGGGCTGAGGGTCTGATTGCAGGGCTGCTAGGTCCAGAAGACCCGCTGTAACCATGTGCAATGAAGTTTTCTTCTGATTGCTTCCTATTGCTGTAGATTTCCTGTCTGAAGTAGGATGTTCTTAAACGTTGAAATGCTTAAATGCAGATCCACACGTGTGAACGCTTTGCTGGTGAGGTGTTTACTCAGCAATCTCTAAAGGCAGCATGGGACCATATCTGAATTTTTCTGTGCTTTGTGCATTCCTGTAGCATAAAATGCCCTCTCTCCACTGGACCAGAAACCTCGCTCCAAACCCATCAGTGACAAGTATGGCAGTTAGTGCAGCTGAGCAGCAGTGCTAAATGCAAAACCAGAAGGAATGAGTCCCTCTGCATCCAGCGTTAGAGAGCTGGAAAACCTGGTAGAACTGCACTGGAGAAACTGTGTAAAACCCACTTCTTGTCTAAATAATGAGCAGCAGAGCAGGAACTGGGCTCTTTGTGTCAGTTCTGCTGTAGATTTCCTGCATGGGAACAAAATGCTGTTGAACAAAGATTGAAGGAATGGGCTCCTGGAGTACCGCGGCCTCTTGGTTGTGTGTCTTGTGAGCTCCATTGCTTTGGGTTGAGAGCTTGAAAGCATTTCTGAGCATAAAACTTGAAAGGGAGACAGGCAGCTGCCAGCTCAGGCAGGGCTCAGCTCTTACAACAAGATGCTCGAGTGCACTCTGTGGGTTAGCAGTGCTGGTGGCTCCCTGCCACGATTCCGTGTTTATTGGGAAGGGCAGGGAAGGGAAGTGCTCCTACGTGCCCATCTCCACATCCCCTGCCCTGGGAGAGGGATTTGGCCGAGGGAAGCTGAGCTCTGACGCCATTCCTGGGGGGCAGAGGAAAGATGTGGAGATGTTTATTGGAGTCAGGCTGGTCCCACCTTCAGACGCTGGGATGAGTTCTGTCTGCAGCGCGCGGTGGTGGCTGCTTTGAAATCCAGGCAAGCAAACAGGCTGTTTCCAGAGATGTTAGTGATTAAAAAGAGAAAGCTACATCCACAGGAAGTGTTTGTTTGGAGGCTCTCTTGTTTATCGCCTTGCTGAGGCTTCTCTCCTGCTGTCCCTTACCTTCGCTCCTGATTTCCAGAGCCGTGATTCTGCCTTTTTGTTTTTCAGACAGTAGAGCACTTCAAACGTGTGTTTTGGTGACGGTTCTTACAAATGCATTTATTCAAAAGAAACACAGAGGGAAGCAGCAACTAAGCATCCTGTTGGGCAGCAGGTGCTTGGCTGTTTGTTGGGGGCTCAGGATGGGGCAGTCCTGCAGCATGGCAGGGAGCTGGCTGAGTGCTGCATCTGTCAGCACCTTTTTGTGCATTGGGACTCCACAGCCTTCTTGAGGAGCCTTTTCTGCCCTTAACTTTGCAAAAACAAACTCCTGCAAGACTTCTTTGAAAGTTGAACGCTCAGGTCACTCAGCCTTTCCTCACAAAGAAGATGCTCCAGGCTCTTCATCACCTTTGTGGCCCTCTGCTGGACTCCTCATAGGAGATCCGTATCTTGTTTCAGCTGGGGAGCCCAGAACTGGACACAGTATTCTAAACGTGGCCTCGCCAGGGCAGAGCAGAGGGGGAGGATCGCTTCCCTCAACCTGCTGGCCACACTCTTGAATTTCAATGCATCCTAGGATCCCACTGACCTTCTTGGCCACTGATATCTCGTGGCCAACCTGTTGGCCACCAGCTCACTGCAAGGGCAGCTCTGCATATGGTCTGGTGCTGCAAAACCAGGCTCAAACGAGCGCCGTGGCTCATTCCCAGAGTTGGCTGCTGTGGTTGGGTGAGGGGATGGGATTTGGGGGGGTTTCAGAGATCCTTTCCCAAATGCAGCTTAACCCTGGGTTCCACTGCTGCATGGTCAGATCCCACGGTTGCATCTCTGCTGCCCGCAGTGCCCAGCAGGCTGCCAGGGGTCCCCTGTGGAAAAGCAGCATTGCTGAACTCAGACATTGTGCATTACTGGGGAAGGAAAGTCAGAGCAGGTCCCTAATGCTGCTTTGTTATAAACCACAGCTTTAGCAATAACATTAAGCTTTTGCATTAAATGCAAGGTTAGAGAGCTTTGGAAAGCTGGGGAGGCTTTTGTCTTTTAAGCACTCTGTTTATTTTGACAATTAGTTGGAGCTAAATTAAGATTGTTGGCTGCACCGATACGTAGGAAGGTGCCATCTCAACGCATTCCTTAAGTTTGTGCTCTGTGGCAATGTTTGTGTGCTGAGGTTTGGGCTGGGGGATTGGGAGGCATATTGGATTATATGCTATTTGCTCTGCGTAAGCAGTGGCAATTTATTGCTGCAGATACATGTGATGCAGTGCACAAAGATTAGTTCTATCCTCTCTAAAGCATGATTATTTTAGGGCCTCTTTATACCTTAAATAGATATTCCCTGCGTGTGATTTCCATCTTTTTGTGTCAACAGCCCAGGCTAAAGTTGAAATAAACATTGCATCAGCTTAATAACACAGCTCTGAAGAAATCTGCTCTCCATTATGGAGATTGTTTGGAAGCCTTTTAGTCTTAAATTTTTCAGATGTTTGATGGTGCAACGCAGAGGTCTCATGAATCCCAAAGTGCTCTCAGGCTCTTTGGGTCTGCCTTGTGCTGGGCAGGGTGGTGTTTGTAAGTACAGCTCCGAGCACAGCAGTTGGTCCTATTTTTGCACCCCCCTTTTTAGATTGTTTTGAGGCTCTGCAGCCTGTTTCAGGCTCATGTAGATGTGAGGAACGCAGGTGAGTATGCAGCTCCTGACCTAACAACAGCTCCTGTTGGCTGGGTGGGCTTTGTGTCAAGCAGCAGATTTTCCCTTCCCTTAGCAGCTGGGCAGGGGGATGCTGTGAGTGCTCTGAGCCTCTGTGGGCCGTGTGGGATTTTTGCATGGCTTGGTAGGAGGAAGAACAACTCATCACGTGTGTGTCCTCATCTGCTCCATGTCCAGGCACTGTGCAAGAGGGGAAGGGGACTCATGAAGGAGTGAACCTTGGGACAGCCGTGTGGGCTCTGCTTCCCCTTTGCCTTGTTCCCAGATTTTAACCATTCTTGCTTGCCCAGCTGTAGATGTGATGCCAGGGCATTAGCCAGCGTTGTCCAAGTGGTGAAGGATGCATGGGCGAGCAGCCATAGAGCTGTTTTCTGTCAAAACAAGCAGAATGAGTTATTTGTTGCCTTAATTTGTAGACTGGAATCAGCAGGGCAGGGCGGTCATGTCCCATCCCTGGAGGTGTTCGAGGCCAGGTTGGATGGGGCCCTGGGCAGCCTGGGCTGGTATTGAATGTGGAGGTTGGTGGCCCTGCGTGTGGCAGGGGGTTGGAGCTTCGTGATCCTTGAGGTCCCTTCCAACCCTGGCCATTCTGTGATTCTGTGTCTGCTTGTGCATGGAGCCGCTCGGCCCTCCTACCTGCGGTGTTTGACCTCTCACACCTCTCTTACAGCACCACCATGACAACAGAGAAGAGCCCAGCGGCAGACCCCGAAAACTCAGAGCGGCAGCAGGCGAAGGAGGAGGAAGGGGCTGCCAACACACAGAAGCAGGAGGCGTCCCCAGAGCAGGGGTCGGGGCCCAAGCAGAAGGCATCCAACGGCAACACACCCACGGCTGAGGAGCAGGGCCGGAAGGAGCGCCGTGCCTCCGAGGGCCGCGGTCTCTCCCGCCTCTTCTCCTCCTTTCTCAGGAGGCCCAAGTCCCAGGTGTCTGAGGAGGACAGAGACACCGATGTGCCCAAGGAGGGCGGAGGGGACCAGAAGGACTCAGGGGTAGGAGCCAACCCTGACGAGGAGGAGGAGATCCTGGTGAAGGCCCCGATTGCGGCTCCCGAACCGGAGCTGAAGACAGATCCATCTCTTGACCTCCACTCCTTAAGCAGTGCAGAAACGCAGGTAAAGCACTCCGCTCGGCCTGGCAGCGTGTGTGCTGAGGTAGAGTTATAGAACAATTCTTATCCATTGATAGTAAGCTAGAGAAGAAAAACCCCTGGGATGCTGCAAAGTCTCGTTGTCATCTCCATGTATTGCAGAGCTTGCTCCGCTATCAAACCATACTGCCAACCACCTGATTGTACTCACTCTTCAAAGCATATCTTAAAACACCCTGCACTGGCTCAGTGCTCTGCTGAGGCGTGGAAATACCCTCAAGAATTTGGGTTTGAATTCATCGTTCTCAGCAGAGCAGTTTCTCATTTGGATGCCCTTGGTGTGTGCAGAATAAAGGCAGGTTAATGGTACAAGGAGGGAACTGCAAGAGAATGTGAACCTATGGGAGGGTTTCTTGGACTCCAGGAGGTGTAACTGTGGCTTTTCAGGTCTTTGTCATCTCTTCAGTCTGGGCTGTTGCTGCAGTTGCCAAATACAAGTATTTTCTATAAAAGCATCATGTAGATAGAGGTTTCTGCGCAGCACACGTGCTGAGCCCAGCTCCTAGCAGCTAAAGCATGGTAGGAACCAAGGGAGAGATAGCCACAATGAGACATTCACTAAGCAGCAGCTCATTTAGGCTGTCAGTTGGCCTCTCTTACTCCCTGGTGGGATCTTGGGGCGATACAGCCCTGTGGGCACCAGTCTAGCTGCCTGGAGTTACAGAAAGGCAGGGACCGCAGCTCCTGGGACCTCCTAAAGCCCAACCAACCTATGTGTGTCAATGGAGACAGCAAGTTAATGGTAAAATCTGAACTACGTGCGCTGCTGCTGTTGGGTTTTGAGTGGTCTGCAGTGATGTGTGACGTTTGAACTGCAAACTGTGGGTTTTTAGAGACTTTTTGAGAAATACTGTCTGAGTTGGAGTGTTCCCAGCCGTAGGCAGTAGTTGTAAATCCAACTCCTTAAGTTTACAGCGTTGCAAAGAAGGTAGCAGGTAACGTGGTTTTATTTTTCCAAATTCCTGAGCTTGTAAAAAATACAGGATGATCCCTGCTTTGTACCTACCAGGGCTGGGACATGCTGGGCAGCTGGAGGTTTACATTCAGTTTCAGCCCTGAAGTTGCTTTTTTGGGAGGAAATGCATGATTTCTTTCTCTGTTTAACTTCGCTTTGCACGTGAGTGTGCGCAGAGAGCAAACCCACAGCCTTCCTTCAGCAAGCGCCGTTTCAGACGAAGCATTCAGGGCTTTTTTCTTTTTTTTAGTTCTTATTTCAGATTGACGTTGGTGGCTTTTTGAACTGTGACACTCTGCAGATATTTCTGCCGTGAAAGCATTTGCGCGAGGTGCTGCCTGTTTGATAAATGCTGACCGACGGGCATTACGAGCTTTGATTCTCTGCTCCCTATTATCCCAGCCCTGCTGGGACAGAAGTCAGCGGCTTGTGGACGTTATTGAGTTCCTAAATACCACAGCCAGCAGTGCCTGCGTGCGGCTGTGCCTGGCTGTGATTTCATGAGAGGCGATGGGCTGAATTAGCAGCTCACCACCGGCTCAGACCAGCGTTTGGCTTTCCCTTCCTCTGCCACATTGGGGCACTTCCAGCACTTGTTGGAGCCTGCTGTGGACTCATTTAACCTGCTGAAATGGCTGTTTAAGAAAAAAACACCACTTCCTTCCTTCTTCTGTTCCCAAACTGTGTCGTTTTCTGCTACTTGAGTGAGTTAAGCTGGCTCCTGAAGTGCTTCAGTGGGCAAAGGGAGAGGTTGTCAGGGCCGAAAGGTGACTTCCCCTTTTGGTGACCTGAAAATTGGCATGATCTAATCTGCCCTAATTTCTCTAATCAACCCCTTTTTGGGTTTTTTTTGCATCATTTATTAAATGAAGAGAATGACTTGAAGCACTGTGCAGATCACCATTGCTCAGTGTGCTTATTGCACTCCTTTGTGGGTTATGCATCTGGGCTGATAACAAACGTTGGGGTGCAGAGCTTGTTTCATGGGCTGGGTTTTTGTTTGCCCCATCTAACTGGCTGTGTGGATGTGCTGGGGTTTTCAGCCTGCGCAGGAGGAGAGGAAGGAAGAGCAGGAATCAGACAGCAAAGACCTCGAGGGCAAGGAAGGAGGTGAAGGGAAGGAGGAGAGCGCTGAGGCAGAGCTGAAGCCAGAGGCTGCAGAGCCCAAAGCAGACAAGGATCTGAAAGCTGCCCAGAGATCCATAAGAAGACACAGAAACATGTACTGCAAAGTTGTCTTGCTGGATGACACCATCTTTGAGTGTTCTGTGGATGTAAGTACATGCAGAGTTTGTTTCTTCTCTTTTCACTTCTCCTCCAACTACCACCACCACTATTTAATGGGGATCTAATTTGCTGCCAGTGATTTACACAACAGCCTTTTCTGCACAGCCATCTTGCTGTAAGCTGCCATAACTTATTCAGTGTGTTGTGAAAATCTCCGCATTTCACCCCAGCAGTTGGTCTTGTTTCTTGTTCTGTGATTTCCAGGCACCTTGTTTTTAAAGGTGGGTGGAAGTTTAGAAGAATGTTACCCCTCTTACTGCTCATCTTCTCTCTCATTTTCATACCAGACGAGAGTTGGGTTTATTGTGCCGTGTTGGGATTGTCTAAATATCTTCTGCCTCTTTCATCTGAATAAAATGTGTTGTCATGTTAATCTGTGCTTTTCTGTTCACCCACAGCGCCTTTGACTGTCAGGCTGCTGGCCATCTCCTGTAGCTTGGATGTAAAGAAAAACAAGCTGCATTTAGCTCAGGGTTTGAATATGTTTGCAGTAAACAATTTAAAATTATTATGTTGACTTACAGCACTGCAAAGGGCTTTTATTCTGCTTTATTTTGTGCGTTCTCTCGCTGGGCTGCCTTGCTGTCAGGGCAATAAAAAGCGAGCAGAAATGCCTATTTCAGTATTGAAGTGCTTGCCCGGAATATTAACAATCAGGCACTCACCACACATCCACCAGCTTGTTTTCCTCATCCCACTAGCTAAAAGGTATCTGGGCACAGGGCTCCTTGCGGGAGCGTCACCTCGGGTGATCCTGGGCAAGTAGGTCAGTGCTGGCAGTTTGTGTAACAGCACAGCCGTTGTTGCTGAGCAGGATCAGCACTGAGCCTTGCTGCAGCACTGGGTGTTTGTTGGGGATTTCAATTGTAGCCCCCCAAAAAAGCCAGCTGCTGTCTGCCAGGGTGGTTGGTGCTGGCAGCCCCTCTGCTGTGCTGGTCTGGCACAGCCATCCTGCATGTGCACGGCGTGGCAGTGGGCTCAGAGCAGTGGAGAGGCAGCGGCTGCTATCGATGAGCAGCTCTTAACTGCACGAGTACCCTTGGCTTTGATGCCAGTATCATCTTATAGAGGGCTGGAGCATCTCTCCTTCGAAGACAGCAGGCTGAGGGAGCTGGGCTTGTTTGGAGAACACTCTGGGGAGACCTCGCTGCAGCATTCTTATAAAGGGAGCTTATAATGAGGGGAGAGACCATTTGCACAGGCAGACAGTGATAGGACAAGGAGAAATGGCTTTTGACTAAAAGAGGGGAGATTTGGCTTAGATGGGAGGACAAATTCTTTATCCACAGGCAGTGATGCCCTGACCCTATGGTACCCCATCTCTGGAGCTGCTCGGTGCTGGGTTGGATGGGCTCTGCTCAGCCTGAGCTTTTGGGGGGCAGCCAGCCCATGGCAGGGGTTGGGGTGTGGGGGGCTGTAAAGTGCCTTCCAACCCAACCATTCTGCAATTCTAATCTAGAATTTTGAGAATTCAGGTCTTAATTAAGAAGGATTTGCAAAAGTGTAGGCAAAGACCAGCACCAGTGCCTTTATTCAAAGAGAATAAGTGCTTTCAGACGATCCTTGCAGCTGACAGCCATAGAAAGCTTTTAATTCCTACATGTCTTCAAGTGCCAGTTCCTTGAGAAATATCCCAGGCTAACACATGAAGTGCATTAGCTGTAGAGCTGCAGTGTGTGCTAACAGCCTCACAGGGCTGGAATAAAACACGGCTGTGGGCTTTGATCAATTGCCATGCAAATATGGCTAAAAGGAGAGATGCCAGCACAAGTGATGCATTAGTAAAGCTTATTTGGCGTCACTGGAACTGCACTTCTTTTACCAAACCCTCCAATAGAATTCGCTGCTTTTGGTTACCATAGTTTTGTGCCTTTGGGGATGTTTTTCTTCATGCTTTGGACTAAAAGGGTATCAGTTCCTAGGGCCAGCTCATTCACATCACTTCTGCAGGATTTTGGAAAAAGAAAAGAAGAAGGAGTAGATGGAGATACTCAGAGAGTATTTCTGGAGGCAAGAAGTTGAGTGCTGAGCAGCTTTCAGTGTATAAGGCAAAAATAGGGAAGCTAGGTTTAATCAGCAGATGGGGTTGGGGAAATGGCTGTGGAAATGATGGCCTTTTGTTCTGAGCCCCTGGGTCTTTCATGAAGCTGCTGAGCCTCCAAAGGGGGGCTGTCATGGAGGGCTGCAGCAGCTTCATGTCTCACATTGGCTGTCGTTTAATCAGCACTTGGTTGTCTGAGAACCTGATTTCAAGCTAGTCGACGCTTTTCACCTTTCTTTGTAGTGTCTGCTGCTTGATTCTGTTGCTGTTGTGCAGACAAAAAGCAGCCTATCCTCTGGAATCTCTTCTGTGTCTTTGCAGAAACATGCCAAGGGGCAGGATCTACTTAAGAAAGTCTGTGACCACCTTAATCTCCTGGAAGAAGACTATTTTGGTTTGGCCATATGGGACACGCCAACCTCCAGGGTAAGAAGTTGCTCTTTTATGGGTGGATTCAGCTCTGTGCAAAGCTGTCCTCCGTGGAGATGGCGATGCATAAGTTGCTGATGCTCTTCTTAAAACTACTTTTGATCTCCTCACTGAGAAAGGACCCAAAGGGCTTTTTGTATTGTGACTTGAAGGGGAGGTTAGCTCCCTTAGGTGATGTGAGATGGACCTGAATGCTGACACGCTGCAGGGGCACTTCAGTCCTTGAGCCTGTGTTCATGGAAGGCACACAGCTGTCAGCAGGAGAACCACTGCAATGCTTTGGGCACGGAGGAGTCATTGCATGGAGGTTTACTTAAAGTAGGGGCAGACCTGGGCTGTGGTGCTCAGGGAGGCTTTGGGTTTGCTTTCCTGTTCCTCCTCTGACTCGTGACTCCCCTTCCTCTTGTTTCAGTAACAAATCCTGGGCTTTGAATTCATGCTGGATTTGTTTTACCCTTGGTGTCCTCCTCCTCCAGAGCAGTGCCAGCAAATGTAGCCATTCTTAATAACCAGTGGTTCAGTGCATTCTTTGAACAATAACACTGAGCTGTGCTGGTGGCTTTATCACCTTTGTGATGGGAACACGGGCAGGGAAGTGGGAGTGAATCAAGGCTTAAAATGTGCAGTGGGTGAGCTTGTAGCAGCTGCTGGCTCCTAGCACAGATTCAGCTTCTGCTACCTACGTGCCAGCCTAAAGCACACCCTTGGTGGTGCCTGGGAGGATTCCTGGCTAAGATTTGAGGCTTGGGATCTTTATGTTTGTTTTTTTAATTGTTTCAGTATATTTCCAGCAGGAAGTCACAAATCCCTAAAAGCTGTTAGGAGTTTCAGCAGCAGAGTTTATGTATGTCCCTTTTCCATGAGTATTGTGCCTTTGAAAAGGGAAAACACGGCTGGGTTACGGAGCACCAGCTGCTGCCTTGGCACTGCTGTCAGCATTTGGTGGGTTTGAATCGAGGCCTTTTCATACCAAAAATTCTTACTCAAATGGTTTTGGTTTAAGGTCTCTGGTTGGTTGGACCAGAGCAGTGCCTTATCTTTTAAACCCCTGGTTACACTTTAACTTGAGCAATTACTCAAACTCTGTTTGATGAAGCTAGCCAAAAGCATTCCACATTGAAAACAAGGGGCCGCTTTTATGTCCTTCAGACCAATTTCGTCAGTCCACACTCTGGCTGCTCCCTTGCTTCACCTATAGCTTCCATGTTGGGCCACTTTCCAACGGCCACAGGATGTATTTGTTGTTAAAGGACTAAATAATTGAAAGTGTGTATTTTTGATACGCAGGCGAAACAAAGCTCTGTTTGTGCCACAGGCAGCAAGCTGCCCTGCTGGCTTTGGGTGCTGCCTGACCTGAGCTCAGGGGCTTTTTAACCATAGAGACAGAAAACAGGTAGCTGTGTCAGATCTGTGTGTCAGGGCTGAGAATGCAGGAAGGTAAAGTTGCTCTAGTGCAGAGGAAGCTGCTCTCTGGAAGCCTGGTTTGTCCTGATGGGGGACCTGGCACCAGGTGACTGATTCACTGCTAGAGCAGATCTCAATGGGAAGTCTGTAGCTGTGCTTCTTCACCTCCTGGTAACTTGCAGAGCAGCAGGGAGATGCAGGCCTCTGTTCAAGGGCAGTCAGAAGGCCGTGTGCAGGTTCTCCCATACATAGACAAGAAACCTTCCTGGTGATGGGTGTTTTCAGAATGGGAATTACAGAGGGTACAGGTGGACAGGGCACTGCTTAGCACCAAAGCAGCCCCAATGCCAGTGTATGCATAGGGATGCTGTGCATAAAACAGCAGGTGTAAAGAGAAAACGAGTGCAGGAGCAGCATGCCTATTTCTCAGATGGATTTCCTATCCGTAGCTTAGGTTAGGGAGGCCAGCATGTAAAAAGATAAGATTACACATAGGCATTGCTGTCTCCCTGCCACAAAGCTAACAGTCTTTCTAGTCAAGAGAAATTGCTGCGGGGGTTGCACTGTGTCACTTCTTGCACCTCAGGAGATCCAGATGTGCAAATCTTCCTCAGTCCTCAGCACTGCAAAGAGCCAGGAGTGCTGGGAGCTGCTCCCACTGTGCTTGGCAAAAGCAGGAGTGTTGTTCTGAGCCTCCTGTTGCACCATCATCCCACAAAACCCCAAATTGCTGGGGGGGGAAAGGATATATTTCTAAATTTGTAGCTGAGATAATTACTAGAAACTTGAGTCATACTTTAAAGAGACTGAGTTTATGTCACGTTCTCCAGCTGCTGGATGTTTTCTCTCCCATTTTAGTGATTAGGTCATTAAAGAACACAGCTAATAATAGAAGGTCTTTCCATCTTTGTTCTCAGGAGGGTAAGTATGCAGATAAGGGGCATAACAAGAAGGCAGACACACAATTTGTCTGTTTCCAAAGGTCTTTGAGGAAAAATGTGTTGCACAAGTGCTCCCCTTGGCTGGGCTTGCCTGAGATCATACCTGCTGGGATGCGATTGCAGCCTTTTCTAATATGCTGCTTTTAAAAAAGACAGTGCAAATAGGATCTGACAGTGCAGGATGTGCTGTGCTGAGTTCCCTCAGATGCTGCTGCTGTGTTTTCAGGAGCCAACATAAATTCATTCATTTAAACCCTTTTCTGTAAAGGCTGCCTGCGTGGTGTAGGCTGCTCATCGGCTGTGTGTGCTGAGCCTCTGAGGTGATGGGGTCATCTCACAGGAGACAGAACAGCTTCATATTGGAAACTGTTCATTCATATTCGTTGTCGGATTGGAAATTCACATGCTGAGGCTTCAGGCTGGAGTAAAACTTCTGAAACATGCTCTCCATCTTCAGTTTCCATGGTTGCAGCCGTGCCTGGTTTTTGCTGCGCTGTTCATGACTTGCAGTTTGCTGTGGTGTTTCTGTAACGTCTGTTATATTGTGAATGCTTTTATTCCCTTACAGACGTGGCTGGATCCTACCAAAGAAATAAAAAAACAAGTTCATGGTAAGTGGATGGGATTTATCAGGTGGCTGTGTGTGTATCCTCTCCCCTTCCTTGCACACATGTGGCTTTGGTGTGTGGCCCTGAGTGCTGGGCAGGTGCTTGGGCAGGATCAGCATGAGTTCAAGCTATCTGTGCTTTCTTTCTCAAGTATTTAGTTATGCTCTACATGGAGGAAAAGTGTCATTTCCTTGTGAAAACATAGCTTGGAGTGTGTTTGCCCTGTGCAAGCCATGCTCTCCTTACTACTACTAAATAGGGTGGAGAGGGAGATGTCAGCAGTTGCCACGTAAAATCTAAGAGGCGGCTGTTGGAGCTGAGCCCAGCTGCGTGCTGGAGTGAAGCAATGTGGGCTCCAAGGTGGTTTTAGGGTCCAAATAGGGATACTGGAATGATAAACAGAGGCCTCAAGCAGGATCAGCACAAATGCCACATGCTTTCAGAAAGGTTTTAAGCTCTTCTAGCGCCGAGTTCATTCAAGATGAGGGCAGTGTCAAAGTTAAGTAAACTTGTGAGGCTTTTGTTTTCTTTCAGGGGCAGCATAGGGTGTGACTGCTTCACGAGTAAACGCTGTTCTGTGGGTGTGCTTGGGGGGCCCAGAATGAAGTGTGTCACTGCATGACTGAGGTTTTCATCTATCTTAGCAAGTTAGCAGCAAGCACGTATTGCAGCAAAAGTGTTTTTTGGAACTACGGTGCTAAAAGGCACAGGAGAAGGGAATTCCAGGGTTGCTCTGGGATGTGATCAGGAGTTGCGTTGCGTGTGCATTGAGCTGCACACACAGGTGACCTGCTCAGCTGTGTCACTGAGCCAGGCAGGCTAATTGTACCACAAATAATGCCACTTCTCAACACAATTACAGGGGTCCTCGCTGTAATGTGTGCAGCAGTGCTGTTTGCAGCAAGCTTTATTGCCACAGCTGGCTCTTGAGTTGTAAAGCTCTTCTTGCCTTGGTGCTTGCTGCTCCTTCCAGATTGATGCCTGTGCTGTGTTGAAGTGTGCTCTGCCCCCATGGCTGCAGCACATGAGGCTGCTGAGTGAATTAGCACATCTGTTCCTTATGAGACATTTGAAAATTGGGTCGAGTGATGAAGCACTAATTCATTAACCTACAGCACGTCTGACCTCTCTTCATGAATCTTTTTTTTTTTTATCAGCGAATTATTTGAGTAATTCAGCCTCTTGGGATCGAATTTAATTGTTTTTTTCCACCAGTTGTGGCATCTTTCACATGTATTCATCTGCCCTGCTTTGTTTTCTCATGTGTGTATCTTAGCTCTTGTAAATGGGATTGTATCTTTTGCCATCTGCCTCAGCAGCAGTGAGCTGTGTGAGCAGCAGTACTGGAGCTCATGTTTGGGTCTGATTGCTGGCTGTTGCAGAGCTCTTCTGCTGGGTTCATTTTTCTGAAACTTCTCTTTGTATTTTCAGGAGGCCCCTGGGATTTTACTTTCAATGTCAAGTTTTATCCTCCGGATCCTGCTCAGCTGACAGAGGATATAACGAGGTGAGTGCCCCATTCATCTTGCTGGCAGATAGCTTGCTGAGCAGCGCTGGGAGCACCTTCAGGAAGCTGCTGGAATCAGATTAGCAGTGGATGGATGGATGCCCCATCCCTGGAGGTGTTCAAGACCAGGTTGGATGGAGCTCTGGGCAGGCTGCTCTTGTACCAGATCTGGAGGTTGGTGGCCCTGCCTGTGGCAGGGGTTGGAACTTAGTGATCCTTAGAGTGCCTTCCAACCCAAGCCATTCTGTGATTATAAGATCCCATGATCCTCTGAAACAGAAGTTTTTAATACTGAAGCATCGCTCCGTCCTTGAGGACATCCTGAAGAACTGTTTGGAGGGGTTCTGTTTGTTTGGATCGAATGTTTGTGTGTCTGGGGATGCTTCTTCCCTTCACCAAAGTGCACGTGCTGAAAGCAGTGTCTTTATAGCCATGTTTTTGTATGGGAAAATGCACTTTTCTTTTAAAAGAAACTTTTCTGATGATAGAAAGCGTCCTCTGTTTTTTTTCCGGAGTGGAGGTGACCTGAAATCCTGTTGTCTTCCAGCTGTGGAGTGCTGTGACAATCATCCCATAATTAAAAATACACATGAGAAAAAACACTCTGCTTAATTCATAGTGCTGCCAAATAATGACTTGGTTCAGTGCTCCAGAGCAGATTTCCTCTGGTCTCTGAGGTCTCTGTAAATAGCATTGTTTTTTTTCTGCCAAAGGTATTACTTGTGTCTTCAGCTTCGACAAGACATCATCTCAGGGCGGCTGCCTTGTTCCTTTGCCACTTTGGCTCTGCTGGGTTCCTACACAGTGCAGTCCGAGCTGGGGGACTACGATCCTGACCTACACAGCACAGATTACATCACTGAATTCAAACTGGCTCCAAACCAGACCAAAGAGCTTGAAGAGAAGGTTGTGGAACTTCATAAAACGTACAGGTAAAGAGCACTGGCACCTAAGAACTGGCTTTTTAGATTGCTCTTTTTTGACAGGTGCCTCAAATGAGTGCTCCTTTTCAACAATATCGCTGTGAAACTGGGTTTTATTTCATATAAAAGCACAGATTTTGTTGCTGTAACCTTGTTGTTTCTCTTTTCATGTGTTTGTTTTTGGATTTACACGAGTTTTGAGTTGTGATCTGGTTGGAACAGATCCCAGGTCGTTATGTATGTGCTGTAATCTGCAATGTGCTTGGAGTTTTCTGCTGCCACACATAACAAGTAATGTGTTATGGTGTGGAATCATTCCAGTTAATGCTTGAGGGACAAAAATGCATTGTGTCCACAAATGCATAGTGACCTGGGCAGATGTGTGTTGTTGTGGTGGGGCTGGAGGGCTCTGATGTCAGATCTGAGGGTCACAGTGACAGACCCTCCTCCTCATCTCATCTTGACCTTATTTTCGTAGATGCTCTCAAGTGCTTTGGTTGCAAAAGCTCCATGGAGCGGTGTGCTCCCAGGGGGGTGACATGGAGAGCATCCATAGCAGCACAGTTCCAATGATACTTTTGGATTTTTGAGGGGAAAAAGCCCATAAAAGTGCTCCAAGGTACCAAGGTGTTGTGGAGGTGTTGCTCTAGCAGCTCTCTGAGCTGTGGTAAGCTGCTGGCTATGATGCACTGATGGTTGAGAGCAGAGCACATGGAAACCAATAACCAAAGTGCAGCCGTGGGGGTGGGCACAGAGCCCTGGCTATCACCAGAGCCACGATTAATGCCTCATTCAACCGTGCAAATCAATACTTGATCTTGATTCCCCTCCGTTTGCTCTAAGAGGAAAGAGGGACAATAAGTACTGGGCCACTGACAGGCTTCATGACTGGGAGTCAAAGGCCATGGGCTGTGCCAGAAGCAGCAGATCCCATTGCTGAATTATTCATGCCTTTGTTACAGGATTACTTGGCTGTGTGGGACATAGATTTTTTTTTTAAATGCACTCGTGTGTGCAGTAGGAAGTATGTAATATGTGTGCATCTCATCTCTGGTCCGTGTTCTGTGAACTGTCAGAGGGTTTCCAGTGCAAAAACTCCATCTCTCACTGCTTTATTTGGAGAGCAAAGGTGTTGGAAACAGTCACTGCTCTCAGGTCCTGTGCAGGACACTGTCCTTGCAGTGCTCTTTGTCCTACACACTGCTAAGTACTACCATTTACATTGCACACTGCATGGATGTGTGTGCTCAGCAAGAAAGACATCAGAGCTGTGAACAAAATGAACAAAATGGAGTGTTTGCAACTGAATACTCTTCCAGCTGAGCTGCTGAATGTACCTTGCTCCACTGAAACTTATTAACAGGGGCGCTTCAGTAAGGTTGATAATAGCCTCCATTATCAGGATGTTGCTGTTAAGCAAAGTTCTGTTGTGCTGCCTTTCCTGCAGATGGTACCATCTGTTCCCAGAAAATGTCTCATTCATCTCGTCTGCCCCATCAGGAATATCTGCCACGTGGTTTCAGCTGTCCTCAAACAATGGCTGGGTTTGGGAAGGTCTCAGGCCGTGTGCTCACCATGCACAGTACCTGTCACTCCTTGCCTTCAGCTGAATTGGAGCGTTCTCCACCTCGAGTTTTGAACCCTGTGCCACACTTTTTTCACAGATCAATTACTTTCTAGTCTGGTGTCAGTAGCACTCAACTGAAGAACGATGCTTCTGTTTTATGAGGGCGTCTCAGAATGCAAACTTGTGCATTCAGAGCAACTTAGTACTTCATCATCTGGGCACAGAGTTGCTTGTGCTCAAAGCAGAAGATCTAACAAGTAAATGGTTTTGTCAGATCTGATGTGTCTCCTCATAAAAGCAGCATTTATGGAAATGCCAAACCCTTTCTCTCTTTCTCCAGATCCATGACTCCAGCCCAAGCAGACCTGGAATTCCTTGAGAATGCAAAGAAGCTGTCTATGTATGGAGTTGACCTTCACCACGCCAAGGTGAGAATCAGTGGGAGGTGTGGTGATTAATTAAGAGCTTCAGGGAAAGACTAAAGGAGTAATATGGAGGACACCCTGGAACCCAGTACAGCTCTGACTCTGGTCTCTGCTTAAATGTACTTTCTCAGGACTTGGAAGGGGTGGATATCACTCTGGGAGTCTGTTCCAGTGGCCTTCTTGTTTACAAAGATAAGCTGAGAATCAACCGCTTCCCTTGGCCCAAAGTCCTGAAGATTTCCTACAAACGCAGCAGCTTCTTTATTAAGATTCGCCCAGGGGAGGTACGTTATGGCTCCTGGGGGGGTTTGTTAAATTAGCTTCTGATATCTTTGGGAAGGAAGCAAGCTTCCTACCGAGTTGGCATTTAATACCCTTGTGCTTCTGATATCGGCTTGACCCTAAGTTCAGCCCTTTAAGCAAAGCCCAGTGACCTTGCTGAAGTGCTGAGAGAGACGAGGAAAACTTTAGTGTGTCATCCAGCACCACCTCCTGGCACAGTCTGGTATTCTCACATCCAGGCTGAAAGCAATTCACAGCTGAAATTGTTCGAGAGCCTCCTCCTTTTCTGGAAATGTGGCAAAATATGGGGCAGATGGTTACTGTTCTCACACCTGAGCTCCTCCTGCACATCCGTGGAGTGAGCTTAGTGCTCCTGGGCAGGGCAGGTAGATGGGCTGGAGCTGCACTTCTGTAACAGTTGCTTCTTGCCAAACCTAAATCACTTATGTTTCCCACAGCAAGAGCAGTATGAAAGTACAATTGGATTCAAGCTACCAAGTTACCGGGCAGCAAAGAAGCTGTGGAAAGTATGTGTTGAACATCACACATTTTTCAGGTGAGTTTCCAAAATGATAGGCTCCCTTTGACTGATTAATGCTTAAGATGAGTGGCTGAAGATGAGCACACCTTCAGCGTTCCTTAGGTTCCAACAAAAATCGGAGTGAAACGATTGCAGGGAAATGAAATGCTTATATTGCAATACATTTCCATGCAGCTTCCGTGCGAGGTTTTCTTTCTCATGCAGATGTGTGTCGCTTCCTAGATCCAGAGTCGTGCTTTTAACTTGCATGTCTGCTTTCCAGGCTGACTTCGACTGAGGCCATCCCCAAGAGCAGATTCCTGGCTCTGGGCTCCAAGTTCCGTTACAGTGGGCGGACGCAGGCGCAGACCAGGCAGGCGAGTGCCATGATTGACAGACCTGCACCCCAGTTTGAGCGCACAGCGAGCAAGAGAGCCTCCAGGAGCCTCGATGGAGGTTAGTGGGCAGCTCTGCTTTGTGCCCCTGCAGCATCCTGCCTGGGTTCAGCTCGTTGGCTGTGTCTGATTTTGCTTTGATTTGGTGAGCTTAGGGTTTTGATCCCTTTGAAAACTTCTGAGTATTCCCTGAATGCTATTAGGATTTGCTTCTTTGTGAAAAAGCAACTTATTTAACTTCTCACTTCAATGCAAGACCTGGATGTAAAAGATAAACCCTACAGCAGTGTCACCAAGAACTGACTGTCAAAAACCAACTGTGGGTGTTGGTGCTGAAGGCTCCTTGCAAAGTTCTGGTGTAACCACATTCAGCCTCAGGACATATTCCTTTTGGGAGATGAAGAATTGTAGGATGTTGATGTATTACAGGGTGGGGTTGAAACTAGATGGTCATTATGATCCTTTTCAACCTAGGCCATTCTATGATTCTGTGTTTATTTAATGTAGATTCTTAAGTTGCATTGCTTTCCTTGAGGGGGAGAGATTTGCCACTAGTGCTTGAATCTTGGTCAGTGTCTGCTAAGGGGATGGCAATACTGAAGTTTGTGGCACATCCATCAGAAGGGCTCTTTCCTGGCGATTTTAAAAGGTCCTGATAACAGCAGACAGAGCACGAGAGGTGAAGTGTGAAAGGGGGAGAGGTGAGAGTCCTGGATCTGAGTCAGTGGGTGCTTGTAAAATTAGGACTCCCAGCTGCAGTGCTGTAACCAAGTGTCAGGGCATGGAAAGAGCATCCTGTGAACGTAACGCTTCCGTCCCCATTGAGGTCTGCTGCCTTTTTCCATCTGCTGTGTGGGCAGTTGTTAACATGTGCACCATTTCTTCAGCTAAACGTGCGACTCAAAAAGTTGAGTTCAGAGCCGTAGAGGAAGAGAAGCAGGAGGAGGTGGTGGTGGTTGAGGTTCCCGAACCAAAACCCGTGGATCAGTTCCGAGAGAAGCCAGGTATAGCTGTGGTGGCTACAACTCTCTGCAGTGCGTTTGCTGTCCTTTCCCCACTGAGATGCCTTTACATGCTTGTTCCTGACAACTCTGACCAGTTTCACTGAGCCTGGCGGCTTGCTTTCTTGCTTCTTTTCAAGGAGAGTTTTGCAGACGGAGGACAGGCAGCCTGGAAGAGCCCCAGTTCTCATTCAGTTCCTGCTTTGCACCCCGCTAGGCAGCAACCTGGGGAGGTGGGGAAGCAGGCAGGATGGCTGGCACTTCAGAACTGTCTCCTTATTAAATTTGGGTGTGTTTTAAAATATGGATTAGAAAACTCTCCAAGTTCTTTTCCTGTGGTCATCATACTTTTTATAAAGCTTCTGGAAGTCTTCATTCATGGAACAGCTTGCAGTTTTTTGGAGCCTGTTTTGGTGGTGTGAGAAATGCCTTGCATTTTAGTACATGGAGCCTAGATTTCTCTTTATTGCTAATAAATATTAACATCCTCTTATGTATATTTAAATACTACTGATGATGGCAGCAGTGGTGATGTCAGATGTTGACTTTCTTCTTCACTTACATAGGCAGTGCTTGCAGTACATTACGACTGAGCATAATTCATATGCATTGTGTGCTGTTCCATTTCCCTTCTTCTACTGTGCATTTCTACAGTGAGTGCTTGACATCACTCGTTTTCAGGTCTGAAATCCAGCTCAGGGTTTCACAAAGTGACGTGGCAGATTTTCCCCCCCTGTTGCTGTCTCCCCTCTGTTCCTGCAGTCAGCACAGCGCTCTGCTGTAAGAGCAGAAGATGCAGTTAGCATGTAGCACAGCAGGATGGATGATGGGTGTTCTTACAGAGTGCTCGAGAATAGTTTTCATGTCCCCCCCAAAGTGCTTTCGATGGGAAAGAACCCAAAGAGCTGATTAGTTTTGGTTTTAACTCTTCCCCAGTATCCTGTTGGGACTGTCAGATCTAGGAGGACTGACAGGCAACTGCAGCGTGGAAAATCATTGCTGAGCGATGTTGGTTTAGAAACTCTGCTGTTCTGAGGCTGCCTTGGCGAGGAAACTGCACTCCCTGTCTCTGTGCTGCCGTGTGCCCGTGGGTGCCCAAATGCTCCATTAATGCATGCAAACCTCTTTCTAGCCAAGCACGCGCTTGAAAGTTTTGAAATGAAACCCATTGCAGAGGAGGAAGAGGAGGAGGAGGAGGAGGTAGAGGTGGCTCAGGTTCCCATTGCTGAGCCAAAGCTGCCGGACCTGGTGCAGCAGCAGTCAGGTATCGCCACGGCTGTGCATGGCACCTCAGGTGCCCACTGCAGTCACCTGTGCTGGGGCTGCTGGGTTGCAGTGGTGCTGCAGGGCAGGCTGCCTTGTTTGCAGTGGTGTTCATCGCTGGTGAAATCACCGCCAGCTTTGCCAGCGTGTTGCTGTGTGAGTGGAGTGCCTTGACGTGGCTTGGCTGTGTGCTGCTGCAGTGGAACTAATGCCAGCTGGGTGTGACAGCCTTCTAACACTTCTGTGCCGCTGTGCCTTTCTGTAGGATTAGTTTCTGTGGGCAGTGTGCCGTGCCTCAGACCTGGAGGTGTTCTCTGGGCCCGTGGAGGTCACCTCTCCCTCTTCTTGACACTTTTGCTCCCAGTAGATACTGTCTGCTTGGCCAAGGTGGTGATGATTGCTGTTTTAAACCTTGGATTTTGGAGGAGCATTTTTGATAGTGTTTAAATCTAGAATAGTGTATCAAAATAGTTAAAAGGTCATTGATTGAGCAAACCTGAAGTACCACAGTTCAGGATGGAATGCACCCTCATCACTGAGAGGCAGAGGAAGAGCTCAGTGTCTTTTTGTCATTTTTTGCTGTGTGTCCTGGAGCTCTGAGGCACTGTGCGAGGAGCACCAGTCCTTAAGGAGAGCTGGCCTTGTAGCTTTACAGGTGACACTGCTTCCTTTTCTGTTTGATCTTTGAGGTGGCATTTAACACACACGTAACTTTTTTAGCCACACATGCCTCTGGCACTGTTGAGATAAGCCCAGTAGAAGAAGAGGAGGAGGAGGAAGAAAAATTGGTGGTGATGGGAGAGCTAAAGCCAGCCCTGAAGGAGCCAGGTACGACTGTGACAGCTTTTTCCCCCCTGCCTGCCATGTCACAACCCTCATACAACTCCTTGGGCAGCTGTCACCGCTTCTAAGGCACCAGTGCCACCCTGGAGCAGATGTACTCCTGGAAGGACAGCACTCACTGCTCACTGCTGTGCTGGAGGGTGGGAGGGGGAATGCAGACAGCAGTGGTAATTGGGGGGCTCTAGTGTGGGTTTCAGCAAGACCTGTGTCAAGGACTCCAACTTAAAGGTATCACCTCAGTGATCAAGGTCTTGCTTTTTTGCCCATCTGCCTTCTGTGTTGCTGACCTGTGGATACTCTATTCCATACACTTTTTGGGCACGTATGAAATGCTGTTCAGCTCCTTGGTGAATGGTGTGACGTGAATTCTCACTGAGGAGCCACTTAAAACTGCATTCCTTCTTGAATTCCAGAAATATGGTGTCCTTTGATTAGCTGGGTGGGCTCGGAAGAAATCCATGCAATGTGACTCTTCCTGACCACGTGTATATGATGTTTTTAGTGAAATAGCAATCAAAAGGCAGCACTGGGAGAACTAAATAGTTTGTTGTGCCTGTAGATAAAGACCATGAATTAACTGGGGCTTGCTTTGTTGCACAGCATTAGCTTTTGAATGTTTGTGGAAGTTTCGGGCTTACAGAGCTCAGGGGTTGTCTGGGAAGTCAGAACTCAGAGGAAGAAGCAGGCAGTTGTTTTTGTGCACACGTAGTGCTTTTATTTCAGGCTCATCCTCTCAAAAGACGATTTTTTTTCCAAGCATGTTATTCATTTGTGCACTTGCACGGAGTTGGAGATGCTGGATATCTCCTTGCAGCCGTGCCTTGTGCTGCAGCAGGAGATACCCATCTCAGGCACACTGCGTGAGTCTGCTTTGGAAGCCACCTGAAAGTTGCTGTGAAGTTTTATTGTGAAGTGCTTGTCGGGGTATTTCCTTTTTATTCTTCTTTGCATTGCTGAAGACATCAGGGCTCTGTGGGAAAACTTTGGTTACTCTTCTAGAAACCACCCATTTCTGATTGAGGGCGTGCAAAGGAGATCCAGAATTCACCTCAGCTCTAAGTGTTGCTATTTTAAAGGTTGTGTTCTGATGGAGTTCTGTATGAAGGACCCAGAAATCAATGGCACAACGGTCAAAAACAGATTAGCCTTTCTGCTGTGGCTTCTCTGCGGAGTGCAAGCTTGCTTTTTGTAAACCATCTCTTGTGGGATTTTCTTTTTATTTTGTTCCAACCATCAGGAAAACAATCTCGACTTCCCCATACTAAATGCAAAAGCTGCTTTGCTCGACATCTTGATTTCTTCTTCCCTTTTTGCCTCCTTCTCCCTCCTCCCTTACAACTACGGCGCTGTAATTTGGAAACCCTTTGTGTGGAGCTGCGGAAGCGCTGCCCGCTCTGACCCTTGTGCTGCCTGTCTGTCCCTCAGCTGTGGCAGTGATAACACCTGAGAGGAGCCCCCGGCCCACCTCTGCTCCTGCCATCGCCCAGAGCCACGTGGCTGAGGCAGCCCCAGCTAAGCCTGATGCCAAGGAAGCCCTCGCTGCATCAAAAGTAGAAAAGGAAGCACTGAAAGCTGAGGCGAAGCGTGAGGAGGTCCTCCCAGAGAGAGCCAAAGCAGAGCAAGCTGAGGCATCTAAGGTATGTTAGTCCACATCACTTGGGGAGAGACTGGTGCCAGGCTGGAGCTGTGGCCTTGGGCACCTTCCCTTCCTGGGCAACCGGTGGGAGGGAGCAGTAGGACCTGGATAGCAGGGAAATGCCAGCCCTGACCACAGTGCAAGGAGGGGGTGGCCAGGTGGAGGCAGAAGGGCTGGCTGGTGGGAGCTCTGGTGCAACTAAACACAGCGGGCAACTAAACACATTTAAAAAGTTGGCAAGAATTGCACACAAACAGATATTTGAGTTTGTGTTAACTTGAATTCGGGGCTCACTCTTTGCTAAGCTCTATCTGCTGTTTCCTGATAGGGCAGGTGAGCAGTTCTGGTGCAATCAGTGACCTGGATATGGTCCACAGCCCAATATCCGAATGCACATGCTCTTAATTTATATACTTCCTCTGGATGTTTCTAAAAACCAGACTGAAATTTTAGTAGTGAACGGTGCTGTTCAGACCTTGGGGTCATTTATTGTTTAAATGGAGGTTTTTTCAAGAATATTCACACTCTCCACAGATGTCTGAGGCTTCTGCTGGTGTTGATGTGATAAAGATATTCGTGTGTTGGTATTTTAAGTCAAAATAATGTGTGAAAACGTTGTTCATAGCAGAGTGTCCTTAACATTCTGCAAATCCCTGAAAGCTCACAGTGGTGCAGCATTGGTGCACGCCTTGAGTCACTGTTTCCATGTCAGCCCGAATGTTTAGTTGCTCCCAGCTGTTCCTGGAGCCAATTCTTGGTGTGACATGGGATGTGTGTGGTCTGTTGTGAACAACAGACGTGAGACCTGTGGTCTCATCTGACACATTCACCATAGATCACGGTCAGTTACACCTGGGAGGTGGAGGTGCAGAAAGAAAGGTTGAGCAGTAAATTTCTTGACCTGTGTGGATGATAATTTCTAAATGAAAATAGCAAAGGAAATCTTCAGGAGGGTGTATTTGAGAATCACTCTTCTTGTTACACCACTCAGGCCCAATAGCTTTAAAGTGAGGATCAGTAAATTTTATTTATTCCATTACACTTATTGCAGATTTGTTGGCTTGTTTGTTTGTTATTGTGTTTTTTTTTTTCCCTAAATGCTTAAATATTCCTTTTTTTTTTTTCCCCTTTAAACGTAGTTGTGGGGGGAAATGGTGGATTTGAAGACATCAAATGTGCCGTTTCTCACATGTAGAACAACTTCTCACACTTCTTTTAACACCGACTGATGCTTTCACCTTCAGAGTATTCAGCATCCCAGTTTCCCTGAAGTGCTTTCCTTAAAACGTTAAGACAATCTGGGCTCTCTGCTCATGTAAATACCCTAATTTGGGATATTAGGTCCCTTTTTATGGGTAGGTCTCTTCTTACTGGCTGTGCAAACACAATACCACAGCGTCCCACCTGTGCTCATGTGAACGTGTTGCTTTTGGTCATGATTTCATGGGAAGATCCAGTGAAAACATGGGCTGACAAGTATAATCCAGCAGGAAGGCAGCCTGCAGCAGCACTAGAGAGCACTATTGCAAATGCACATGACTCTCAAGCTGAAAGAATGACCTGAAATGAACTAACAGACTGCAAGAGAGCTGCGGTGTCATTAACTCCTTGTGGAAGGCTGCATCTTGGTTTTTGCATGTGCATTTCAAAACCAGCATTTCGAAACCAACCTGATGCAGCTGTGTTTGGAAACTAAATTGTCTCTCGAGAAAAAGGCTACTAACAAGAAATGTTTTTACCTATTTATTTCTTAAATGTAGGTGAGGAAAACGCACATTGAGGTCACAGCACCCACTGCGGCTGGTGACCGACCCCAGGTTTGTGCCAATCTCTCAGTTAGGACACTCACTATTTTTTATGGCTACACGGTGAGGTTTGACGCAGTGAAATGAACCAACCATTTTTGTGGTTTTGTTTTTTCTCCCTTCTTATCACGGCCCAAACAGAAGCAGCCTGCAGAAAAAGAGGAAGAGCTGATAAGAATGAGGAAGGTCAGCCGTTTTACGCTTTCACAAAACAAATTTGCTGTATCACTCACGCATACTTTGACCTGTTTAAAAAGACAGTGCTCCAATTCCTTCGTGTGCTTTGGGTTGGGTTTTTATTTTCTTTTTTTTTTTTTTCTAAACCAGAGCTGTCACACACTTGATTTGGAAGCGTGGTGGCTGAAATGACCCACGTTGAATGTCACAGAGGCACCACCAATCAAAGCAAAAGCCAATGAAACCCTGGGAGCTGTCTCTTTAAAGGACTCATTGCACTCATTGCATTTTCCCATCCCCATGAGCCAGACCTTCATTCACTGGTGGTGACTGTGGCCCATCCCTCACCGGCGCAGCGCTGCGCTCCACTCACTTAACTTTTTAATTTGCCAATTTGTCGATCCTGCAAGAACAACCTTTTAATTTTTTGTGCTTTTCTTTTTTTTGTTCCCCCTTTTCTTTCATTTTCACAGAAGAGATCAAAGAGACTAGATGGTGAAAACATTTATATCAGGCATAGCAATTTAATGTTGGAGGTTTGTATGAACTCAAAGCTTTTTTCAGTTGCGTTTGCCTAGATCTGTGTTCTGTGCTCAACTTTTTCTTCCTCTTCTGCTGCTGCCTTTCTTTTTGCATGCTACTGCATGAAATGTTTTTTTTTAAGTACGCTTTTGCATGTTGACAGTAAACATGACGATGTGCAGGCATTCTTCCTTCTACCCCTTCTGACTTTCATTCTCTCATACTCCCCAGGATATATGATTGGCAGAGCCATGTGCTCAGCCTGCTCTGTTCTTGGACCACGGCACACATTGTGGGGGGAGGCTCCTCTATGAGTTCCTGGTAGCTGGAAATAAATTAATTCTGGTGGGCGAGGGCAGCCCAGTGGAATCAAGGAAACACATCCTGGGACAGCCTGCATTGCAGTCCATCCCCTCGGGGCTGGTGGTGACCCATGGCAATGGATGCCCATCCATCCATCCATCCTTCCATCCATTCCCGTTGGCTCTGGGAGCCCTTCTCTTGGCTTCACCCAGCACAATCTCAGAACAGAACGTGCCAATCATATATTTACCCTTACACCATGTTACAGAAGACTCTGTGGCTTCTGTTATTCTGTTCCTGTGTTATGTGTTTCTACTCCAACTTGCAGCACCAGCAGCTGGTTGTAGGGTTTTCCTCTTGGTATCTCTTGAAAGCAAAGTGTACTAACTGCCTTCTCCTAATCTGAATTTTAAAAGTTTTGCAGCTTTTGGGGATTTTCTTTCTTCTTTTTTTTTTTTTTTTTTAAATGACTGCTACAATTTAAGCTTTTGGACATGAGCACCCACCGGGCAGAGTTTGGCCACCACTGCGAGGACAGTGCCTTGTCGCTTCCTTTAGACCAATTGAGCAGCTCCTCCTCCCCAACTTCAAGCACAGCTCTTACCCACACCCTGCTTCCAAACAGCTTTTTCCTGTTCATGAGGGACCAGGCTCTGCTCCCCCCACCCTCCCGCTGGTTCTGTTGCAGGTGCTCCAGTGGCTCACCCCTCTGCTCCTCTTTACTCCGTGTGCGTGGCAAAGCTGGTGGTTTCTAGCAGACCTCACAACTGCTGGCACAGAAATGCTCCAGGAGCTGCTGTTTAATTGCACTGAGCTGTTCAGTGCTCAGTGCTCCATATGCTGCTCTCTGCGGACTTAGAAAAAGGCAGAACGTGAGGGAAAGCTTGGTGGTCATAGCATGTTCCTTAAGGTGTTTCAAGAGCAGCTGTGATCTCCTGGGTCGCTCTGTGGCTGCAGCCTCTCTGCAGGCTCAGATCGACTCTTAGGAGTGGCAGCAGGGATTTGGGTGCTCTTTCTCTTTTCTTCAAGCCAGTGGCAGCCATAGGGCTCCTGACCCCATGCCCAGATGCAGTTTGCATGGAGTCCTCAGCCCACCTCTCCGTGCCACTTCCCATAAGCAAATGCTGTGCTTTATGTGGGACTGATGGCAGAGCTTTTATTTCCCCAGAACTGTGCCAAAAAGAGCAAATTTACTCATTGGGCGTTGGGGGCCTGTCACCCTGTGTGCTGCAGGGATGCAGGTACCAGAGTGGGACGTCTTTCTCTGGGGAAGTGTTTGCTTCAGGAAGTGCTTGCTTTCCCATCTTCTTAGGTCTATGGGCTGGCTGCCAACTCAAAGCATAAAAGGAGTGAATTTTGCCAATGATGCTTTTCCTGACCTTACTTTCTCCTTCTCTATAGAGTGAGGCTTGCTGTTTTCTGGCACTGTCCAGAAAAGTTGTTTGGCTTAAGCCTATTTTATGCAAAAGCTTTGTGTTAAACTAACTGTTTGCTTGCAAGGGGAGGCTATTTCTAAACGTATTAGTTGAACAGAGCTGACTTGCCTCAAAGTCTGTTCATTTATGCTGTAAACTGGCATTGCAGAGAAGAAATCTGGCCCTTTCCAGATTAATAATCTAAGCAGGAGTTTCCTGCTTGATCCAGCATGAAGTAAATGCTCAGTTAAGTTTTAGAGGTCTGCATCTCATCTTCAGCTCTGAAGTCTAAAGCTCCTATGGTGGCTCCTGGAGAGAGGAAATGAGATGAGAGGAAAAAAAGATAATGGGGTATTCTGGAACCAAAGATAACTTGTGTTAAGACGACAGAGAATAGGTATAAAGAGAAGAAATGAAACTGGAGAGAAGCCTTCTTAAACATTAACTACCCTTATATCCTTGAACATTCAGACTAGCAGAGGGAAAAGAAAGCAAATTCAAAAGCATGAAAGAACCCAAGCAAACTTAGACTTGCAATTTGAAAGCCCCATGTGCAGCAAGGCCATGAGGTGACACCTCAGCAGTCACAGCTGGAGATGAGCTGATGGCAGGTTTGGGTCCTGCAGGAGACACTGCGTGGTTCTGAGTGTGGTTTGCTCAATGCAAGGCCAGAAAGAAGGGAGAGGTACATTTATAGTGTGAGCACCACTGATGGAAGTTGGCAACAACTCTGCTGAGTGCAGCTTTGCTTTGTGGCAGCATAGGCAAACTGTAGGTCGCCCGTCTCCGTGTCTCTTCATTTATTCTGTCTTTCCGCCACTAGGATCTAGATAAGACCCAAGAAGAAATAAAGAAGCACCACGCCAACATCAGCGAGCTGAAGAAGAACTTCATGGAGTCTGTCCCTGAGCCTCGCCCGAGTGAATGGGACAAACGTTTGTCCACTCACTCCCCGTTCCGAACGCTCAATGTCAACGGGCAGATTCCGTCGGGAGCGGATGGAGTGAGTACCTGGGGTCAGGAGGGAGCCCAGCGACAGCCCTGCCAGCCAAGTTAAGCCCCAGCTGCCCCTGGGTTGGGTGCACTCAGTGCGAGTGTTAGATGGGCTCTGCGGGAATCAGTGCTTTTGTTTTAGTGCCCTAAAACTGTGGGTTTTTATTTAGCTGGGGGAAGGAACGTGGGCGTTGTTCACCTGGTTTTGGTACTGCTTTGTGTAGTGCTGTCCGTGCTGACAGTGCACTTCACATGGCTGCTTTGGGGTTTGGTTTATTCTTAGTACCAAAGAATGCATCTCCCCAAAATATTAAACGAACAAGAAACCAACTGCCCAACAACCCAGCCCTAAATCGAAAGAAGTTGTCACTATGGAGATAGTATTGCAGGAAGCCAGTGGACAAACACCAGCATGGCATCAATTGCAGATGTCACTGCAGTCCCCATTTAATCCAGTCCCTGGGTTTAGTGTCACACTGGGCTCTGCTAGTGCATGTAGGTGTGCTGTGGTGAGAGCAGGGCTGTCTGAGGCGGCGGCCTCTGTCCTTGCAGAAGCTGTGTCTGCACATTGGGGGCTGCAGGTATTCCGAATCTCCCTGCTCATTCCCTCAAAAAAAAGGGACTTTTTAGAGAAACCGAGATGGAGCAGCAAGGTCTGCCAGCTTGTTTCTCCTTTGATAATAGACAGCTTCTCCCTTTGTATTAATGCTGGCACTGTCTGGCTCAGATTTGAAGGTTGTGAGTGAAACTGGTCATCAGTCCCTTCAGTAACGAATGAGATTTTCTTTAAAAGTGAGGAAGTTGAATGCTGGCTGCAGTGAAGGCAGCCACAGAATCTCTCCTGGCTTAACCTCAGCTTCTGCCCTTCCTGCCCACTGCTCTGCAGAGAGATTTCTGGTGGCTTTTCATGCCATTGCAAGGCTGGTGGTACTCCATAAACAAGTAATTCTGCAATGGGTGGAGGATTATCAGCAGAAGCACAGGGCTTCACTGGACAGAAGTTCACTGCAGGCTCCTCAAAGCATGAACAAAGGCCAGTGCAGGGCTTTTTTCTTGTTAGAAAAGCAAAACAAGCCCACCAAAACGAGTCTGTTGTCGTGCTTGGAATTACCCTGTTTAAGGCATGGATGAGTTTTACACTTTGGTTGCTGTCTCTTAGTGTAAATTCTGCAGGAGTTTGCAGAGCACAGCAGAGCTCAGCCTGCTGCTTCGTGCAGGTGGAATAGAGCAGGGGCCCTGCAGCTCAGCAGCTGCAGTGCAGAAATGCAATTCTTAGTTACTCAGAAATTATGTTGTGGTGGCTGCACTTGGAGAGCATGGGGGGCTGCTGTGCACAGCAACTGGGTGGAGTGCATTTACCCACTGCAGGCTGCAGTGGTCCACAGTGATGTGAAGATTGGTGTCTCCTCTTGATTTGCATTTCTGGAAATTCATTTTAGTTTGCATTCTGCTGTGGATTTCTAGAAATGCGTCTTTGCCACATGCAGAGAAGGCACCTCCTTGGGGCTGTGTTTCACTTGGTCTGCACATCAGTGTAAAAAGCTCGGGGATGGTGAACATAATGCAGATAATTCATAATGCAAAGTAGCACTGTTTCGTGGTGGTATCTTAACCCCGAGGTGGTGGCAGAAGGATATGAATCTGCCAGGGGCTGTTTTTTGCTCTTCCCATATTGCTGCAAGACAACTGAACCTTACGTGCTTTGTGTGTCCAGGTAAAGAAAGTCACTGTCCTATCTTCTGAGAGACAGGTTGGTTGGTGGGCTGGAGGTAAAGCTGCTGTTCTGATACGTGCTTCTGAAACAGAATTCTGCTATCGCAATGGCACCAAGCAAAAACTCAACAGCAGCTGCTAAATAGCATTTTTCTTTTGGCTATGTGAAGTAGATTCATAACTCACAACACCCAGAGGACTTTGTGCACCGCTGCAGCTTTTGCAGCTTTTGGTTTGCTTGCGTTGGTGCATGGCTGGTTGGAAAGAGCTGCATGAGCGATGTGACGGTGTATTCGGAGAGAAAAGCAATGATGAAAGTTTAACTGTACCCTGTTCTTTTCATGTTGTCTTTCTTTCCGTTTTTCTTTTGATGATCATGTTACTCTTGCATTTTATCTTTTCTTTTGCTGCCCAGTCTCCCAGCTACTTTCTCCCTGATACTCATCACTTAGGGGTGTGCAAAGAGCCGGTCCCTAAATACCACACTGATCAGAGGAGGCTGGCTCAGCTGAGGGAGCTCAGAGCCAAGTTCTTCCTTTCATAGCCTCGCCATGGCTGAGCAGAAGGGATGGAGAGCTGCCTGGATGGGTCACAGCAGCGTTCCCACAGTCCTATTTACTTCAGTGAACACACCAGAGCCCTTGCATGATCCTGTGTGACGATTGACTCCTTCTGTTTTACATTCTTGAGAATCCAGGAGCAAAAGTACTGAAATGCAGAGCAAAGTTTAAGGAGTTTGGAACCGTTCCACGCTCAGCATTTCTAAGATGTAAAGATTTTTCACTTCTTCCAGCAGAATTTTCAAAGCGATGGAAATTTTGATACCGTTGTCTGAATTTTAAAGAAAAAAAAAACAAAAAGTTTTCTATCTGCACTGAAGTATGAATGCTCTCTGTTATTTAACAGATGCTATTTTTAAGGGCACTGTAGAATAGGGAATTGTACAAAGTGTGGTCTTTGTCTGCACCGTTTCTATTTGTAATGCCACAAAAGCGGACTGTCGACCGCTCCGATTCCAAACACATTGTAACAGGCTTTGACCTTGCACTTTTCTTGGAAGGCAGGCACAGAACACACGTGGATCGTGACTCAGAGACCCACAAGCTCTGTCAGCTAGAGCTGTGCTTTGTAGCTCAGCCAGGGGTGTGAGCTGAGCTCCCTGGGGCTCTGCTTTCATAGCAGTGCGTTTCCACGCTGACATTTGGACTGGCCAAACGCTTTGCACACCTCCAAGTATCGTTTTGGGCACTTCCCATCTGTCATTTTTGTTCATCTCTCTCTGTCTTTCTTGATCTTCTACCACGAAAGCAGACACAGGAACGTCCTCTGTTAGTGCAGGATGAAGACAAACTAAAAAAGCAGCAGATCCCTACTGAGACAACATTTCCCCAGCAAGCAAGCGAAGAAACTCTTCCAAAGGTTTCTATTCCGATTCCTGAAGAGCATAAATCACTCAAAAAGTGCCAGCTGTACTCTAGAATTTTTCCATCTCCACGTATCCCCTTTATGATGTCTTTTCTTGTGGTGGTAGCACTGACTGTTTGGTGGCTGCTGTTTCTCTGAGTGGGAACAGGGTCATGCAGAAACCTCAAGACCAAAGCTCCTGAATCTCTTGGCCGTGGCATCAGCTGCATCCTCCTTGTCCTGGGCTCTGATCTGCGCAGCTCGTTGCCCCTGGGGGGGGCACCCTGTGACATTTGCTTTAATCCTGCTGTTCTCTGTGTGGCTGTGAGCTGGGGCCTGGCAGGAGTGGTAATGGATTGCCGCGGATGTCGGGATGCCTCGGAAATACATGTTCCCAATTGCAGATGCTTGGGCTGTAAGAGGGCAGGCTGTGTGGCAGGAGGTCTCCCTCCATGCAGCCACTGCTGAAGATTTGCTGTTAGGCTTGTTTCAAACATAAGGTGTTCACAAGCAGGACGTCTGATGGTGATCCAGAAACCCAAAGAGGCTTTTCAGCAACCTACTGAATCCAATCCATAACCACTCCTTCTCCAGGAAACTAAGTCTGGCATTGAGATAAGTAGCATTGATCATCAGTGCTGCTGTTACTGTTAACTTAGAGACAGGGACAGGCAGCTTCTCATTCTCCCAGTGGGAAGCCCTTGGCAAAGCATCACAGCTTCCATCTTGTGCCCGTATTCTCATTTCAAAGCAACTGCATCGTTTTGCAGGAGGAAATGCATTAGAAGGAAATACTTATTGTAAGCAGAGGTCGATTATTTTTCTCTCTCTGGTGGTCTTGATATGCCCCAGCTGTGTTCTTTTTAATTTGTGTTGAACTAACTGTAGCATGTTTGCTTAAGTGACAGGAATGGGAAAACCCACTGTTACACGCGTCGCCTTTGGTAGCATGTTGATGTTCCAACTCTTCCATTTACCTGAACTGTGATAAGACCACTGTGCTCAAGCCATAGCTCCAATGTTAAAGCCATCTATTGTTTTGACTTCTCTAACAGCAACAAAAGAAACCCGTTGCATGCTGCTTGTTGTTTATTGCCTACCTGTGTGATTGTCTGGGTGATGCTCCTATTTATCCAAGTTAAGTCAATAATGAACGTGGTTGAGCTGTGTAGGGTGGGCAGAACCAGGTCTGCAAGCTGGAGGGAGGATGGGGCTTTGTGTCCACGGGGTTTCTTTGTGTACATAGTAATTCTGTGAGTGAACTGAGCCACCTGCTTCTCCTTCAGCAGCAATATGCTTTCTGTTGCTTTCTGTATAGTGTTGGTGTAGGAAGAGTTACTTCTGAGAACAGCCTCCAGTGCCATCAGTGTTGGCAGCTGCTCCAACAGCGTAGAAGAGAAAGGAGGACGACTCTATCACAGGGGCCAAAATATGTGACTATATATAAATACCTGTATTTATAACCCTTCGTAGATCCGTATCTGTGCGAGCAGTGTTATTTAAGAAGTTAGCAAATATGCTTACAGGAAAAAAGCTCAAGGCAAACTAGGTATGTGCACAACTTGGCATGTGCTGGCTCATCCTAAGGATCCCTGTGTGTGTAGAGGCTGAGGCTCCCTAAATGCTGTCTCAGAAATGTAGGTTACGAGTGAAACCCTCCATCTGATCTCCTGGAATCCTTCTGATCTGTCTGCTCTCTTGTAACACGCTCCTATTAGTTCACCAGTTTGTGCCTTTAGGACTTAAGTTTTCTGCTGAATTCCTTGGAAAGTATTCTTCCCGTTACAATACACTGCCTTTAATACACAGTCTTCCTCTTTCAGCAGTAGGGATGGCAGATGGAAATCTGTTCAGCTGTACCACAGCCCAAAGGAGAGCTGTCAGCCCCAAGGAGGACAGCTGAAATTCAGGGGCACTGTGTTAAGTGGGCCTTGGAGAGGAGAGGTGGGAGAGCCTGGACATGGAGTGCTCCTGCATTGCAGAAGATGATGGAGGGAAGAAGCTTTCCAAAAAGCTCTCTGAAACTGGAGCATGAATAACGAGATGTGGGAAGCATTGATCCTCCACAGCAAGAAGGGACAGGGAATGTTTTGTTCTTCCTCTGTGTGTTCTGTCCATTTTTCATGGAGAAGAATTAACCACACACCTCCTGCTTCCTTCCAAAAGCCGTTGCTTGGAGTAGCGGTCACTGAGAGTTGCTTGGGTTGTTGCCCACTGTCTTTCTGAACTGATGATAAATACTCTGAAGCCGTAGCAGTGGCTTTTGGTTGCTGTCTGTCTGCCATTTCCAAAGGACCCGAAGTCTGAAAGCTTTGCCTGGTGCAGTGTTTGAACTCCAGAGTGCTGAGAGATGCCCTCTGTTGGCCATTGCAGCTCAGTTCTTTAATTAAGATGATTTCTCTCTCTCACACTTTGTTGCTGAACCTTGAGATATGGCTGGATGTTATCAGCACAGAAAACAACTCCTTAAACTGTACGTTCAGAGAATGCTCAGCTACGTTTATTGGAGTTTATTGAACAGTTATCATTGAAGTGCTTAAAGAAACTGAACTGATGCTTTGTATTTCTAGGGCAGTGTAGGGGCCAGTTGTCTGTATTCATTCAGGTGGATATGGTCTTTTGTGGCAGGGAAGGATGGGAGCTTATCAAGAGCAGAAACACCCCCTGGCTGATGCTGAGGTGTGTTTTGGGAATGTCTGCAGTCCATTGGGCTCCAGTTTGCTCTTCCAGCCACTTCTTCCTCTTCTCTGTTTGCTTGTATGGCAGATGGAGCTACAGCAGTGCCCTGAAGCAACCTGCCAGGGCCTTGTTTTCGTGTGTTATGTGTATGGTGTGCGTTGTGCTGTGCTGGGTGATTCCTGCTCTCGCTGCATTTGCTGGATGCCCATTTGAGGCATGGCACTGCAGGAGGCCTGCAGGGCTCTGGACCATCTGGCTTAGTGCAAGGGCAGAGGTCTCAGGTTTTCATTAAGGAACTTACGTGTACTGAGCTCACTTCTTCCTCAGGAACAAACATGCTGCAAAGTACTGACAGCCCTTGTGATTCTTTACTTCCAAAAGGAAGCTGCAGGTATCTGCAGATCACCTCATCCCTGTTTGCATGGGAAATGCTGATTCTTCAGGATGAGGTGCTGCAGAAAGTGACATCTCAGTGACTCTGACACGCCAGAAACATGGCTGCCATGGCACTGCCAGCAGTGTTGCTGTTCAATAGACTTTCCCAGTGCTGTGCAGCCTGCCTTGCTGCAATGGGACTCGTTGGTGCTCACATGTGGGTCCCAGTGGCTGCACTAAGGGACCAGCTGAGCTTCAGCCCCTTCGTCTTGTTCCATCCTGGAGCTGGTGGTTTGCTCTGTGCTGACTTTCTGAGTCTTACCCTGATATCAACTTTTCTGATCTCTGGATAACAGGCAGAATAGTTTCTTGGGCTTTCATGCTTTAGCATGGAGTGGCCGTGTTTTCTTTTCCATTACGAAAAGGGACAGCTGGTATTGTCTGTACCTCCTGCTGTGTGCTGCTTTGCCCCGTGGGTTAATGGACAACGAACTGAGGGTTCTCTATGAGAAGATGTGTTGGGACTTGGAGTTAAGGATAGGAGCAGTTTCCCTTCCAGTTTGTAAAGCAACTGGCAAGGACCCTACAGGGCAGCTGCTCAGTGTTTCCTCCAGTCCTGGAATAAAGGGGAGAGGTTGGTTTCCTTGGCATTCCTCCTTTGTAGGAATGAGGTCAGACTGCCCTTGCCATATCTGTACCTTGGGGTTCCTCAGGAAGTTTCTAGATGAAGCATCTTTCAGTTTGCTTAAGTGTTGGTGATTCATCACTCTGAGATGATTCCCCTGTTTCATTGGGTTTTCTTTTCACTGGCTGTGAGCTGATGGTGCAGGCTGAGGTAGGATGCCTTCCAGAAAAATATATCCCAAAGCAGGGGGGTTACTGATTCATTTGGAAATGTTAGGTCTCTGCTTACTCGTGCTGGTGACGTGGGAGACCCCGATGTGGTGCTTTCTCATGTGTCCCTGTTGGCATCTCTTGGTTTATAACACTGGAGGGAAGGGCTGCAGGCTCTGGGTAAAGGCTGCCTGTCCTTGGGGCAGTGATCTGTGCCCCTCTGACCTTCTAGCAGTGGTACATGGTAGTGTTGGATCAGTTTGTGGGGACTGAGATTACTTTCTTTTTAACTACAATGCTCTCTTTTGGAACACTTTTTTGGCTTTGTATTTTTTCTCAGATTTTTCTTTGTAAATATGTACATTTATCATTAATAAATATTATTGCAAATCAGATTCTACTTTCCACTGCTTATTAACACCAAAAGGCCTATGGCCTGTGCTGAGACTCCTGGGGTAACCCTCACTATTGCCAAGCACCAGCAGCCCCTGCACCAAGCAAGCTCATGCAGTGGGATCCAGGTGTGGGTCCGTGAGCTGTGCCCAGTTGCAGCTGCACACATCTGGTGCAGCTTCATGCTGCTGTGCAGAGGGGCACGAGGGCTGTTGCTGCTAGCTATGCATGCTTGCAGAGTGGCCAGAGTAATTTTATTTGGGGTTAAATCCAGCATGATGCAGAATAACTTTGTTTGGAGAGGAGCTACAAGCTTCAGCCCTCTTGAAAATACTTAATGTGCCTCCAAAACTTCTCACTTCTGAGTCTGAAAGATAGGTCCAGTCGTTTGCTGGAAACCTTTGGAGTGCAGAAGCATCACAGGTCGTGTGTCACTGCTCTGCCCCTCCAGCACCTTCACTGCTCTGCTCTGAGGTGAGGATTGTGTTGCACCATTGCTGTGGCTGTGGACTCGCTGGGCTGGCACAGTGCATCTCTGGGAGTCTTTCCCCTGATGTTGTGTTAATTTGAGGAGAAAAATGTTCCCTTCTTTTTCTGTAAGTGAAGCAGCCACATTTGTAATGAACCAGCATCGTTCTGCTTGGCAGTGTGAGCCTTCACTTGGCTTCCAGCTGTGTCCATGGCCAGAGGTTACGCAGAGTCATTTTAACGTTACCTCCCAGCTTGTGTTCTGTGAGGTTATTTCCTTTTGGAGAAATTTGGCTTGTGCTCTGTCAGTGGGCCCAGTGTCAGAACAGGGCCTGGGCACAGCAGATGGAGCAGGCAAAGTGCAGCAGCACAGAGCTGATATGTGTTGGTCATAAACCCTGACAGTATCCACCTTCTGTCTTCTGCTGCTGCTAAACTGAATCTAATGCAGTGTTTGTATTGCCACACGTGGCTTTTTTTTTTTTTTGCTGCAGAGGAGACTTGAAATAAGAAATGCACAGCAGTGAAGAGGAGCTGGAGCCCGAAGGAGATGGGGGGGAGCAGAATGTGGGGGGAGGAAATGCTTTTGGAACCGTCTCCCTCAGCAGCCTGAGATTGGTAACGCAGTGCTGATCTCAGGCTTGTTTCACGTTGCAGGGTTGATGCAGTGCATTGGAAGTGGCTGCTGTGTGTCTGGTAACACCTTGGGATTCTGCTTCACAGCAGCAATTTGATCTTTTTCTTCAGCTTAAAGCATGCTGTGTATTTTCTTGCTCTGCCTTTCACTTGGGTCAAATTCTCTTTCCCCTTTCTGTTGTCTGACCAGGGCATTGTGATCACAGCAATGGCAGAAAAAAGCAGTGGTCCAAAAACTGAAATCCATAGGGAATGGCAGTCACTTTCACATGCCAAGCTTTTTTGAACAGCTTCTAAACTTTCTACGTTCTGTCTTTAAGGCAAAGCAGTTCTATAAGATGCAGGAGGTATTGTAAGAGAAGGATGTCTTGTTTTCTGCTTAATACTGTTTACTCATAGTGCTTTGACAGCTGTGGGATTGACCATTCACCATTTGATCTGGGAGTTCTTCCTGGTGAGTGTGGTTCTCTGCAAAAGCACCATTATCTGCTCGTGCCTCTGTAGCCATCACCCACACCAGTGGCCTGCGTGCATCTGCTTGGGGATAACCTAATAACAAGCACCTGGTAACTGCTGCAGTGCCAGGGTGAGCAGGGAGGTGATGGGAAATAGGCACTGGGACTGAGAGCATGAAATGTTGTTACGGGGAGTTAGCAGACACTGCTAAATTGTTTCTTCATGCAGGAGTGTTTTCCAGTAGAGGAAAGGTGCAGACAGCAAAGAGTGCTTATCCCAGGCAGTGCAAGGACGGCTGCTAAACGTGGTTGTGTCCTGAGCCAGAACTGCAGGTCCTCTGACAAACACAGGCAAGAAGAACACTTCAGAAATAATCCTTTCTGCCTCTGGTGTCAAAGCCTGTTATTAATTTATCCCCAGTCTGAGTTACTCTGTGTCACTTCTTACACTGCGGCTTTCAGAATCATCTCTGTCCTCCTTTTCTGCCAACGTCGGGTGTGCAGAGGTCTGTATTCAGCAGGGTGACGTTTCAGCTGCGTCCGTGTGTGCCTGAATTTGTTTCTTCTGGGGCACTGCATCCCTCCTTGTGTCTTCTTTATGCTGTGCATGGCTGCAAGCACTCCATGTAGCGGGGTTGGAGCAGTCTGTGGGGTTGGAGCAGTCTGTGGGGCTCCATGAGAACGTGCAAATCAGAGCCCTCAAAGTAGGAATGCTTTTGCATTTGCAAAGTGAAGCAAAATCATGATAAGATCAGAATGTGTAACAGATGGCCAAATTCCGAGTGAGGTGGATTGCTGGGATTGGTTTGGTATGAAGGTAATGTTTTCTTGCCTACATGCAAACTTCATTTATAAACACAGGAACAAACATGGTCACATTGGAAAAAATTGTGCACAAATAGATAATTATGTGTGGAAAGAGAGAGCTCCTAATTAGCCTGGCTTCTTGATAGCGGCGCAGGAAGGCAAGAATAAAAGAACTTCTGTTGAGTTGATCTTATCAGGATTTCAGTCTGCATGTCTGTAGCTGCGCTGTGCTCTGTTGCAGATGTGTGTGGCCACACCATGCAGATCATTGCAGCTTTTCTGCCCTCCTGTGCTTTCACTATGCGAGATGCTTCTAAAATGCAAATGGTTTTTCTGGATGTGAAAGGGAGCGGTGGAGTTGTGCTTGTTGTGTGCAGCTGCTTGTCTCTTCAGTCTGTCTGTGTTTGTGTGGCTGCTTGATCTGCTTTGTTTTAACTGTGGATTACATTCCTCCTTTTGGCTGACCGGGTGCCCTGGCTGCTATGGAAGGAATCTTGCTTCTAAGGCACTTCCCATTAAAATCCATCTCAAGATGCTGTGATTATTTTGCAAGCTTTGAAATGTAAAATTAGGATGTCAGCGTATGAATCCAGGTTTTAAAGCAAGATTAAGTAATTAGCATTCAAATCTGCTAACCTAAGATTGTATTCTGTTTTGTGAAGCATTGCAGTATAATATCTTCTGTTACACAGCATGAGGATGGGGCCTTTAAAGGTCCCCTTCAACTCAAATGATTCTGTGATTCTGTGATCTGTACCTTCTGGAAAAGCACGTACAGAAGAGGTTTGTAATCAGAAACAGCACTTCCACATTTATGCAGCCTGATCTGCCCATCACAGCACTGATCACCATCACTTCTCTCCTGTTAAGTGGATTTCCCTAAGCAGTAACCCAAGAACTTAACAGAAGCCCAAGAGGCTGGAAATGGGAATGGACAGAATCTTACAGGTAATCTGTCTGTTCCATAAAGAAGCTGGGCACTGAAAAACACCCGAGAGGAATGGGAGAAGAGTCCTTTCTGGGAGTTCTACTAAAATAAGCTTCTATTTGTTCTACACAAAGCAGTTTTGCTTCTTAAAATACTCCTGAGCTGTGCCATTAGATGATGTCAGTCAGGCTGAAAGCTTCTGATGGATCACAGATGCATTGTACCAAATAACCCACGGCCTTCAGACATCACTTTTAAGTGCAAGTTACAGTTTGTTGGTTGCCCAGAGTCTTCGTAACAGAAGGTGATGCAATGCTTTCTGTTCTTCTCCATGCCATTGCCAAAATTAGAATTAAAGGTGACAACAGTGGACGAGCCACACTTGAATGAAGATGTAATCACTGTTGTTGGATATAGAGATATGTGCCTGTTTTTATAGCTTGCAGAAGTCGTCTGTGAGGCTGTCAGTTACGGGTAAGAAGTAGCAGTAGCATTGATTTCAGTGGCATCTCATTCTTTTTTTCTCCTTGTTGCCTGATGCTCAATGAGGCACGTGTCTCAAATTGTACTTGCAGGTTATTTTGCCCTTCCTCAAAGGCATCCTAGCATGTCCACAAGAGAAACACCATTTCTGGGGCATGGCTGGGTTGCAGCCATCGCTGGCACTGATGATGCTCTCCTAAGCATAAGTGTGTATAATCTCTTGGGCATCTGGAAAAATAGCCCATTTGTGCTTCAGCTCTGTTTTGCTCATGTTGTAACTCTTCTCTTTTTGTCACTGTTGCTTTCCTGCTGGCTAGAGGGCTCCTGGAGAGAAGACCTAGTTGGGAACTTGCTAATGAGCTGAATGGAAGGCAGAGAGCAGCACCAGCTTTAGCCAGCTTCTCTGGCTTCTGACAGTCTCCTGAAATATCCCAGGTGCCATAGATGTGCTTGCTTGCTCCTTGGAGGGCTGCATTGCTTTATTCTGTTCTTCTCAACTGCACGCCATCACAGATGCCTGCTGTACGTGCAGGAGGTTTAGCTATTGCAAAGGTTTCTGTTATCCCAGAGGCCAGCAGCAAACTGGTTGCAAGGAGTTGCATTCCCAGGTGCTAGGAGCCCAGCAAAGCACGGGCTCTGCACACTGGTGATGCATGATCCTTCTGGTTTTTATTCCCTTAAACTCCATGTGCACATTTAAACAGCGTAAAATATGGCAAGGAGTTAAAAGCAGAATTGATGCATGGCTGCAGTGTCGCTGGTGGTTTTGTCTGTGTGCAGAGGTCTCCACTTGGTACATTGAAATTATTCCTGTTTCCAAACTGGGCAAAGAGTGCGAAGCGGTGGTTCTTCATTTAGTTTTGTTTTAATGTTAATGCATTACACCATCATTGCATGGATTGCTGACCTACCAGGAGGCCTGTGTCAGTGAGTCCATCACATTTCAAAGGTTTTCAAGCTCTTAAATGTTCAGAATCCACTGCTGCTGCACTCACTGATGGAGATGCTGTAAGAGACCAATGTTTTGCTTCATGTCTTCCTGTTCTTCCTAACCCTCTTTCTCTCTCTCTCTTTCTCTCTGGCCTTTTTGTGTATCCCTTTCTTTGTAGAATATGAATGACTTTCTCTGCAGAGAGGATGTGGCTGAAGAGCCAAAGTGGAAAAGTGTTAACCCTGGCTTTGAATGGGAGGGCCCAAAGCAGTCGGTAGCTTTTAGCGAGACCCCAGTGCCGCTCACCTGCGAGCCTCCTCCACGTGGTGCATCCCCCGCCAGCAGCCAGGACCACGAGGAGGAGCTGAGCCGTGCCCAGGGCCTGTGTGCAGCTGCGGAAGAGCTGGTGGCTGGCTCTGAGCTGCCTGAGCCCGCCGCAGTCCCCGCTGCCCCTCTGCTGCAGCCCCAGGGAAGAGCGGAGGTGGCGGAGGCCGGCGAAGACAGCTTGGTGGCAGAGCTGGATGGCAAATGTCACGGCTCGAGCAGTGCGAGCGAGCTGCCCGTGGTCATTCGCTGCTTCCAGGTAGCCCTGCTCTCCCCTCACCTCCCTGATTGGCTTGGGAGTGGAACCCCAAACACTGCAGCATGCAGGTGCTCCAGACCCACGAGGAGGAGTTGTGCTTCCTCGGCTTGGGCGCTGTCTTGGCGCTGAGGACCCGGTCCGCGTCCTGCAGTCGGTGTGCGCCAGCCCCTCTCAATTGATCTCTGCACTAAACACAAGCTGTGCTTCAGCACGATGCCATTTGCCTTTCTGCAATGAAAGTGTCCTCTGACATCCCCAAAAGAGGAGCATTTAGGCTTAAGGTTTTTGCCATCTCCTGGACTGCAAGGCTGAGCCTTAGTGCAGCACAGCGAATTGGATGCGTTGTCAAGCGTGCTTCCATGAGACGTAGGCACTGACATCCTTTTCTCCTCCCCACCTTGAGAGGCATTTTTGCCTGCTTCAGTGTTCCTGAACGTGAATTGCTTCCATTCCAATAGATGTCTGCTTCCCCTCTAACAACTGGTGGCAGCGGTCAGATTTGGGACTGCAAACAGCCGTGGAGTGATGGGGGCAAACACTGTGGGGCTGAACTAACTCTCCTTTGGGATGATTATCATCAGGTGGCGGACAGCTGATTTCTTTCCTCCCCGTTTCTCTTCCAAGATGCCACGTTTCTGTTTTGTCTGACATTGATTTAATAAAAGTCAAAGGCCTAGGATGAGATGAGGGTTTTTAATGAAATGTTCCACTTGTCGTCAGGATGAAACTTCTCAGCTGTGAGCAAGTCTCCATTTGTCCAGGGGTTGTGTTAATCGTATCAGTAAACGAGGGTCATCTCTTACTGGCAGCTGGCCGGGGAGCTTCTAGTAATTAGAAAGTTCATAATCAGGTGAGATGTTCCTTATGGCGTGGTGACACTGCTTGGAGCCTCACTGCCTTTGTTGGGCTGAGTTGGTGCCATGGTATCCGGGGATGTGGAGGATTTCTGTCTGTTAAATCCTTACATGGAGCTTTGACTTGTTGAGAAGTGTGTTGGAGCAGAGGCTTAGCAGTGGAGGTTCCAGGCTGACCTTGGTTCCCACAGAGCTTTTATCAGATCAGTGTCAGAACATTTGCAGACCACAGTTGTGATGTGGAAATACTGAAGGGCATTGACTGAGCTCTTTCACACCTGTCTCACAGCCACCCCTAGTGAAGACACAGACTGTCACCATCTCAGACGTGTCCAATGCTGTCAAAAGTGAAATTCCAACAAAAGAAGTTCCCATTGTTCACACGGAGACGAAGACCATCACCTACGAAGCTGCACAGGTAAGGTGTGTTCTGATTAATTTTCCAGGAGCTTAATTAAACCCATCCTAACATGCAGCTCCTTGGGGTGATCCTGCAGCACCACCTGGTGCTGCCTGCCTTCCTCTGAAAACAGCTGAGCCACAGCACGGGTTATGGTCAGTACTTGCAGGAGTGCAGTGATTTTGGAGTAGCAGCATTTTTAGCATCCCTGCAGAATAATTACCTTCTCAAGATGTGCAATTCCTTTTCAAGATGTGCATGCAAACAGAATTTATCTTCAGCTCTGGGATGCAGATCAGGCTGTGCACATTTGGCTAGAGCTGGCTTTCTTTTTGTGCAGCGGCTGGCTTGGTTTGGTTCCCCCAGTTCTCTTTGCTGTTTATGCCTCTTCAGAACTCTATAAACGTTTTTGGAAACATTTGAAGATTCTCCTTTAGTCCTCAGTACTGAAACAGGTGTTGAGGTGATGGATCTGTATGTTTCCAGTGCTGGGGTTTTGTGCTGAGCCTCCTTGGATCCACAAAGTCCTTGTTGTGCAGGTGAGAGTCCTTCAGCCAGCTGCAGAGGGGATCACTTCATCTCTTAATTCCTGCTTCTGCTTCTGAGGTGGGATTTGTACTCAGATTGCAGCCTGCTCTGTGGACATGGAGCCCGTTTCCATCACTGCTGACAGAGGCTGATGGTGTTTGTTTTCGTCTCCCACAGACAGATGGTGGCAATGGAGATTTGGACCCTGGCATCCTGCTCACTGCTCAGACCATCACATCAGAGACCACCAGCAGCACCACCACCACACAGATCACCAAGGTAATGAGATGAAGCAGTGACAGCAGAAACAACAAAGTAGAGCAACAACACAATAAAGACACGGGCAGAATTGAATAGCAGAAAGAAAAAAAAAAAGCTTACATTCCTGTTCCTTTCCAAAAAAAACATTGAGACTAACACCTGAAACAAAGCTTGGGGGTCCCAGAACTGCCTGTGCTGTGTTAAAGCTATAGATGATGTATTCCATGGAGTCAGGTCAGGATGTTGGCTGTAGCTGTCCTGTGAGACAACAGGAGAGAAATGCACTGTGAGTCAAAGCTCTTCATTGGCACAGTTACAAGAAAAGATCACTGAATGCTTGACAGTGTTTGTCTATGAGCAGTGGCAGTTTTCCTCTTTGATTTTGATACTCTGGTATGACAGCAGTACTTGGTAATCCTATTTTTGGATGCCATCTTTAGGCAGGCAGCCCCAGTGCACTCGAATGCCTTTTTGCTTCTCAGCTAACAGCAGTTTTCCCTTTGTGGCAGACTGTGAAAGGTGGCATTTCAGAGACACGGATTGAGAAGAGGATTGTCATCACAGGAGATGCAGATGTGGACCATGACCAGGTAGGAGTCTGGATGCAGTTCAGAAGAGCTTCTCAGCATTGGCACAGGCTGCAGCCATGCTGTCTTTCTGAAGATAATTTAAACAGAAAATAACCTACGGATTGTTTTGTGGGTAAAAATAAAGCTCTAAAGCTGATTTTAATAATAAATTCCTTTTTGACAGTAGGCAGTTTCATAACTGGGACAGCAAAGCTTAATTCTGCTATGAAACTGGTATTGGCAGCAGGGTTTCGATAGAATTGCTTTGGAAAATTGCCATTTAAAGAAAATCTGCAAGAAAATGAAAGAAGTTTTCCGTGGTATCTGGATGATCTGCATTAATTTTCTCAACCCTTACAAGAGAGATTGCTGCAGTGCAGTGCCAGAAGTTGTTTCGTAGCTCTCAGCACCACTGGAGAAGAGATGCCTGCATTAAATCTCACAGGCTTTATATGAGAGCCTTTCTGATGAGTCAGCCTCACTGGCCTGCAGCGCGTGTTGGAAGTGATGGTTTTGTCATCAGAGAATCATACGTTAAATTTAATTTTAGTTGCAGCTATCACGGGCCTGGAAAACACTTGTACAGCAAGAACTAGTTAGTTAATTCTGACAGCAGATGTCTGAGAACGGCTGCAACTTGCTAGTCACGCTTGCTGGAAGAATAAACAGAGTTTGCTTAATTGCTCCTATCCGTCTTCTAACAGGGGCAGCTGGGAGATGTGATGTGTTCTTAGAAAGCCATCTTGCCTTTAACAAATAGCCCAGTGCCACTGAAAGCTGTGCTCTGCCCAGCTCCCAGAAACGTGTGTGTTTGCTCTGCATGGGGCTCGTGGCCAAGCAGTGTGAACAGATCCAAGGAGGCCTAATGATTCCAGCACCTTGTGCTGAAGTTGGGATCGGGAGCCTTCAGGCCATGAGAATTCTCTGCTTGGTGTAAGGTGCACCATTGATTCCTGCCTTGCCTTTAAACCACGCTTCCTTCCAAACTGCAGCCAGGCAGCTTTGCTTTCCTTTCTTTCTGCCCAGAGTTAGAAATAGGCTCTGGTTACCTCGAGCTCCCCCTGGCCCTTGTCTGAGATGTGCTCTCTTGCAGGTCCTAGCTCAGGCCATAAAGGCAGCGAAGGAGCAGCACCCGGACATGTCGGTGACCAAAGTGGTTGTGCACCAGGAGACTGAGATTGCAGAGGAGTAGCAGGGCTGAGTAAGTAGGGAGACCACGTGCCATAAAGGACAGAGCTGTTCCTCTTCAGGGCAGGCAGCTGATGTCAGTGCAAGGGATGTTCAGCTCAGCATGGTCAGAATGTAAGGAAAATTACTGTTGTTCACCAAGCAGTCCTGCTCAGACTGTTCCTGTTGAATCTTTTAAGGCTGGTGCAGCAGTCACAAACACAGACTTATTCTGAAGTGGAAATGAGCCCCCCAAAAAGGTTTAAAAGAAGCGAGATGGGTGATGGGGCTGCTCTGTCATACCTCTCATCCCCAGCTCCTCGAGAGCATCCTGAACTGCAGGTTCCACAGATCCCTGCCTCTGTCATCTCTGGGCAGTGGGCTCCTGCTGCTCCTGACCTGCCTGAAGCATCACTTCTTTGGTGGCTCTTGGAATTGGTGCTCTGGGGACAGGCACAGGGCATTGCTGGGACAGGTGCCCAGCAGTGCAGAGCTCAGGCTCACCCACAGCACTGCCAGCAGCTCGTCTCATCTCTCCTGTGACTTCAGGGAAGCACATTCCTTTTTACAGACAGATGACTGTCAATATCACAGAATCACAGAGTTGTAGGGGTTGGAAGGGACCTCCAGAGATCATCGAGTCCAACCCCCTGCCAAAGCAGTTCCCTACACCAGGTGATATTCAATATTCATAGCTTACCCTGTTTCTCTTTCTAGGAAGTGTTCTTTCCAGATGATACCAGGAAATAAAACGGAGCAGAACTACAAAACAACTACCTGGAGCACAGAGACCTCAGAGCTACACGACTTTATCCTCACAGACTGAACATTCATATCACTTAGCAGGATTTACGCTTCAGCATTTTACTTGGGATTGTCCAGAATGCACTGGATCCTATTGGATATAGTTTGTTGGTTGTTTTTTATATATATATATACATATATATATAGTGACAAACAGTATGCCATATTTCTAACTGTACTAAATATTTTTACAGGTTTTCAATTTTGCATTCCCTCTCACAGCTTCTTCAGATGCAGGCTCAGACACAACCCGCAGGGCTCTTAGGGTTGCTTGGTGGGTTTTTCTTGGTAGTTTTGTTGTTGTTGTTGCTGTTGTTGTTGTTTTAAAGTCTCATTCCCTCAGCCTGGCTAGGCATCATGGAGGTGCAGCCACGTCAGAGCTTATCCTGACTGCAGGATTTGTACACACCTTCAGAAAGCAGTGGGTCCTTCTGAGCCACTTGAAAAGGTCAGACTTGAGTCTGTGCAGCATTTCCAATCAATTACCTCTGTTTGTAGCTGTAGGCAGTGTGAGACACCTGCAGAACACCCGGGCACAGAGCAGGGCTTCTACCTTCACCGTGAGCTGCAAAGAACCATTCAGGTTGGGAATCTCAGATCACCATCCCAGCCCCCCCATGCCCACCCAGCCCTCATCCTTTGGACTTTCCTCACCTTTGGGTGTTGGACCCCCAATGTCTGAATGCAGGAGGGTGGTGTGGTGTAACACATGCACACATCCTCGTGGTTGGCTAGCTTAAGGAATACTGGAAGTTGCTTCGAGTACCTTATACTGTGAATTCCAGAGCTTTGAGAGGACTGTGGCAGATAATTCCCCTCCTTCCATGCATCCCTGCTGAGTGCTCCCTGCCTGGTTGTGTTTTCTAGATGTCATTAAATTGAAAAGCCCTTAGAAGTGTGCATTTAGTACATTTGGACTCTGGATGCTGTTAAGATGGTCTTATGCAGCATTCACAGAACTGATTTTTTTTCTGTGTCATAGGTTTTCACTTGTTGGTGTTCTGAATTTTTAAATGAGGTTTTTTTTTTCCCCTATTGTGGGTTGTTTTTGTTTTTTTCCCCCCTCCTGGTGCTATTTAAAGCTGAACACGTTACCCACATATCAGGGCAAGGTGTTGCATCCTGCTTTCATTTAATTTAAAATCCTATGGCCAGTCCTTCCCCAGGCCTGCAGGCTGCATTGGGAGAGGGAACCTTGGGAGGTGTCACACTGCTGGTTGCAATAAAGCCAATTGTGGAAAGCAGTGCAGCACTCTGGGGGTGCTGCCTCCCCTCCTGCATGCTGGGGAAGGATCTGTCCTTCATGGCTGCCTTGCTGGAACGAAACACCAGGGCTCTTATCTGCATCTTTGGGCTGAGCTTACAGACCACATAGAAAATATCTTCAAAATATATATTAAAAAAGAAAGAAAGAAAGAAAGAAAAGCACACAATGTGAAGTTTGTTTGTGGAAGCCCCAGCCCCCTCACAGCCATTCCCAAAGCCTTGGCCATCCTCACTCAGTGGATGTGATCCAGGTCTCACTGCTGGTCCCTCCATTGGCTCCCAGTGCTGAGCTCCATGGGGATGCTGTCACCATGCCCTGGTTTCTCCTTCCAGCATTTAAGCACGAAAAAATCAAGCTGTTTATACTCTGCCTAATGCTTGTGAGCAGTAAGACTTGGAAGATGCAATTTTCTATGATTTTTTATTTAGTGTAGTGTGGCACATAAGTAGCTGAAGGCATGGAGTGCTCTGCTGCCGCTCCCCAGTCAAGGACGGAGGAAAATGGCAATAAAAACCCCCTGCTCTCCGCTCTTTTAAACTTGAATGATTTGTTTCTGAAGTCACTGGAGTTAGCTGAGGCTGCAGGGGCAGCAAACAGCCCTCAGACTGCATTGTGGCTCCGTGTCACTTCTCCCATTCAGGTGTCGTTAAGCTGTCAGTATTGATCGGAGCCCACGCTGAGAACACTGGGGCTGCTGGATGTTGCTGTGAGCCTCATGGATGGCTGAGCTGCAGCCTCCCCTCCCGCTGCTCCAGGGCTCCCTGCCCTCCTGGAGCATCCTGTGCTGCCCATTAGCTCACACCTTCCTACATCCACCTGAGCAGCCCCCTGCAGCACAGCCCTTCCATAACACAGCATCTCTGCTCCCTGTCCCTTTTCCAGGAGCTGAGTTCTTTGCTCCTGCCTTGTTGGCCAGGAGCTGGGTGCACATTAAGAGAATTTCAGGGCTTTACAGTGGCGAATTGAGCACTTAGAGGCACTCAGCACTCACAAGAGTTGAGGGGAGCACCGTGGGCTGGGCGACCTGCAGTGGTGAGAGGCGTTACCCAAGAGGCTGCACGAGTGTGCACGAGCACAGCTGCAAATGCCAATGCTAAGAGGTCACAGAATAGAATAGCTCTTTTTTTGTTCCTATTTTTTTTTTTCTATTTTTCTTCCTGCATTTTAGGTGGTTCTTTTCAAGCTGTTCATCCTCAACGCTTCCCCTCTTTTCACCTCTCGCTTTCCTCGAGCGCTTCAGACAAGACAGAGTTCCTCCCCATGGTGAGAGCTCTTGCTGGGGTGGCTTTGGGCAGCAAAGTGCTGCTGGGCACCAGGCAGCTCCTGCCTGTGGGGTTGAAGGCAGCAGCAGGCAGCACTGCTCTGTGCAGCATTGCTCTGTGCAGCATTGCTGTGTGCATTGCTGTGTGCATTGCTCTGTGCATTGCTCTGTGCATTGCTCTGTGCAGCATTGCTCTGTGC